TGGCCTCGCTCAGCGTGGTCCTGAAGAACGGAAGTGGCGGTGACGACGGCTTCATCTACGACGGCACCGTCTATCCCGCTGATCTGCGCTGGACCGACGGTAATCTCACTTACGGTTGCATCTGCAGGCTGCGCAACTGCATCAGGAAATGCTGCCACAGCGACGAGGTGATCAGCAGGAATCTCAGCAACGGGCAGTGCGAGAAGATGCCGTGGGACCCGCTCGCCGCCGGCGACTCAGCCGCCAAGACGCCGGCGTTGCGTTTGATCAAGGAACAATTGGCCGAGGAGATCCGACACATCGGCGAGCTGAGGGAGCATTTCGTTCTCATGGATGTCGAAGGAAACGCCTGTCCCGGCAGGAAGCTCACTTTCAATGTCAACGAGGAGGAAGGTGATGAGAAGATCACCATTCAGGCGAACGGCAATCTCTTCATACACTCCATAAACAAGATGCTGCCGCCGTGGGACTTCTGCTTCGACTGGAGCATGACTCTCGACAAGGTCGGCATCCTCGTCTGTTTCACGCAGGATATACAGGAGGAAGAGAACGAGACCCACAGGGTGGGCATGATCATCTCCATCCCGTTTCTCGTCGCCACCTTCCTCGTGTACGCCATCACCCCAGAGCTGAGGAACCTCTACGGCAAGACGCTCATGTGCTACGTCATCTGTCTCATCAGCTCGTACGTCTTCCTGACCTTGGTCAACCACGTCGGATATATATCGCCGTATTTCCTATGCATCATTATAGGTAAGCGATCACTCTTGCGACTTGCGCCTCGCTTCCCTTACGAATCCACGATAGAAGTCGCCGGCCTGGGTCAAGGCGGGGAAATCCCGCGCCCGATGAAGGCTGCGAATCGTTGGGAGTGGAAACGATCTGGCGATGTTATTCTCTGCCGCGGAGAATAGCCCGAGGCGCACTAACGATCGTGCCTCAGGAGAACGCGAGAATCATCACGTTAACAGGTTTCATGAAATCAGAGTTAATATGCTCTCGTTGGATTTCTCTCACATTAAGCTCGCGCTTCACTCCCTGCGTAATTCTACGCCTCGCGCTCTTCCGATAAGTATAAAATGTTGGGAGTATAATCTCGAGGGAGTGTCCACACATGAAGACGAACGACGATGCGCGTTAATTAAAGAGGGAGAGGACCGCAGGGGGGTAAACACCGCGTTGTGCAACAGCACTTGGCGCTCCTTCGGTATTTCCCACTGCTCTGCCGACGAAGCGAACGAGCAAATGAAAGTTTGGGACATTTTAACGACACGTCGTGTCGAGAAGCATCTCTCTCGAATTCACCAACCGATTAGCACATAAATAATATTTTTTTCAATATCCACGCGAAAAACAGAACTCAGATGGTGCGAGCGAGCGGGAATCAGACGCGCGTTCGGTGATGAGAATGAAGAAAACATTCGGCTGTGCCGGCCTGAAAACTCGGCTGAAATAACCGAAAACGATTGACTCATCAGAAAGCTCTCCTGCATTTCAAGAATTTTTCTCCGCTCCTTCTTCAGTTTTTCACTCGGCCGCTGTTTTTCCCAGGCGTCGCACAGTGGGATGTTTGTGCCAAAAAGTTGGCCAAAATTATATTTTGACGATTATATTTTTTCGGTTCAAAACGTGATGCTATTCATTATATATACGATGCTAAATTTCAAACGTAACAGGTAAAAAATCTCGAAAACTATGAAAGATATTAAAAAAGCTAAAACACGTGTTCCATGATTTCGAAGGGGAAAGAGAATGGCATTATTACTTTTTTATTTGGAGGGCATTTTCAAGGTCAGTTGAAGGTCAACTTAATTTTTTTAAATTGAAAGCCCAATTTTTTATTATATCTTCTTTTTCTACCAATTAATTTTAACAACTTTTGTCTGAAACATTTGTTTATTTGCCTAATATTTTTTGAAATATTTAAAGTTACCAACTTTTCCTTACATATTTCAAAAAATATCAGACAAATAAAAAAATGTTTCTGACAAAAGTTGTTAAAATTAATTGGTAGAAAAAGAAGATATAATAAAAAATTGGGTTTTCTATTTTAAAAAATCAAGTTGACCTTCAACTGATCTTGAATATGCCCTCCAAATAAAAAAATATATGATAATGCTATTCTCTTTCCCCTTTGAAATCATGGAACACGTGTTTTAGCTTTTTTTAGTATCTTTCATAGTTTTCGAGATTTTTTACCTGTTACATTTGAAATTTAGCACCCATGATCATTATAAAGATTTCGTATAAGTTTTTCATGAAATAAAGTGCAAGTATGTATGTGAAAATATTTTAATAATTAAGAAAGCCTAATGTTGCACTTCAATAAGTATTTAACTAGACAAACTCCAAATTTCTTTATCTAATGAGTGTATTCCATCCTCAGACTCTCACAACATCATTTTCATTCATTGAAATATCTTCTTTTTTTGGCGTGGGGTCAGTGTGAAAAGAAGCATATCCAATGTTTTCTTTAAAAATAGTTTAGATTTCTTTCTTGGTACAGGTCTTATATTTGTTAGCGACGGGTCAGAACTTAGTGGAAGTCTGTTGATTATGTCAATACATTACAAAGAGAAACAAAGAAAAACGAAAAAAAAACAAAAGGAAACTTCATATCTAAATAACCTTTGGACAAGACCTAATTTACGTTTAGGGAAACAAAAGTAATTACTAAAATTACATTTGCGGTTTTCCGCGGCTGATTCTTTCCGATACTTTATCCGGAGGGATTACTCTTTCGTTTCATCTGAGAAACGTAACAGGGATAAACCCTGAAGTATAGCTAGATCCTTTGAGTTTGACATCGAGAACGCAGAAAGATACATTATTGAATGCTATTTTCAGAATCGTATGTCCAATCGTGAATGATGATTCAATCGTAATAAATATAGTCTGAAACGTTTCTTCATACCTTTCTCGAAACAATCCGTAACGAAAAATTTCGCGCTGCCACTTCTAAGAACCTTAAAATTCTGATCGGAGATCGTATGTTATAAAGCACTGAGAATTGATGCATATGGTACAATACGAATAATTCCGATCATGTAATAATGGATTTGTCTGCACATAAGCGCGAGCTCGTATGCACAATAACCAAACCGTTTCATGTTATCGCATTATCCCACAGATATTCAACTGTCTAAGACAGTCATTCATGTGGAGCAAGAACGATTTGAAGGAAATTCACTTTTGGTCAGCTTTTCAGGCCGAACATCCCACAGTGCGTCGTCCGGAAAAATTCAGTCGCGCGAAAGACAGAATTGCTTTTCGTTCCGTGTATTCTCGATCGTGATCGTTGCACCTCTCAGCTTTCTTCTCCTCGCGTTCAATGCTCGGCTCTTTTATTTTCTCTCTCGTTACTTTGTTTTTCTTTTTCACGCTTCTTACAAGAACTCACCGCAAAGGTGCTATTATTATCCGACAGCGGCCGAATGCCGAGAAGATCATACATAGTAATGGACTCGTCTGCACATAAGCGCGAGCTCGCATGCATAACAGCGAAAAGCAGGGAACCGACGAAAAGATATATTTTAAATATATTTCCGCAACGCGTCGCGAAACTCCGAATCCCCTGATAAGAGCGACAAAATAACTGAATAAATTTCGGCTCCACCGCGACGAAGGTTGCGATTTTCATAACTAGTTGCTTCAATCAGCAAGGGAAGATGGAGCAACTTGTTTCGAGCCGATTTGCATGTAAGTGCGTATACACACTTGCACATGTTTTCACGTTCAAACATGCATTCACATTTTGCCAGCCCGTCGTTGTGTGAATCAGCCGGACACGCTCTGCCGAGCACTCCGCGCGACTCCGATATCGCAGAGATTAGGAGTGATTCAAGCATCTGTCCGCATTTCCTGATACGATTTAATCCTTAACATTCGATCCGCGTTCAGCGTACGCGGGAGTGGCGGTTCGTGAAACACGATCGATGCGATTGAGGAAATTCGTCTCGTTCACGAGGAAAGTCTCGGAGCGAAGAAGCGGGTATACGCCGGCGCCTCTTGAGCCAACACCATCCTCGAGATTTTCCGTAAAACAAATGTTAATGATTTTCCCACTACTGACGATGCGTGAAAGAGATACCATCGAGTTCGAACCGGTTTTTTCACATACTTGTTTCATGGTGGGAATAGCATGTATAGGGTGAGACAAAAGTACGTCCGTTTCTCTCGACGTGCACCGTCGGCTTTCGGTCAAACTGATTTGTCGTTTCATTGGCTGCGTTCGGCAGAACTCAGCGCTTTGTAAACGGTTTAGTGATACATTGCAACAGTTTGGATGTTCTGCTGAACGCTCTCTGTACTCGTCAGAGTGATACATATATATATATATATATATATATACATTTGTAAACATCGAACTAACTTTTCATTACTTGCTGTAAAATAGTTCTACATGCATTTTTATTATTCAGCTGTTATATTTGATACACTTATTACATTAAAAAAGATCCATATAAAATTTGAAACGTTTCTTCTTATTTTTGCTGTGTGGCTTTATTCTAACCTATGCATTATCTATAATATGCATTAATATACTTTGATGTGAGTATAATTATATATTTCATTATTAAATTATTTATATATATCTTTTTCTAATTGCTCGTGCACTTCTATAGAATTTACATTATATTATATATAACGTCTTTGTATTACGCTTCACATAAATTGGGGGCATCCATCTTGCTCAACATGTTGTGCTTAGATTCAGCTTCTTTTAGTTCGCTGGAAAACATGGCGACCGTTAAGTAAACATGCTGAACTGCTGAGTCCGTACTTTAGTACCGTTCAGAAAAAAAAGCATAAAACAGTTTTGCAACTGTTTTGTTCTGTTGGACGCAGCCATTCTCTTCTCCCCGAGTTGGTGCACGAAGTTGCAATATCTGTCGCAGGATCTAGGATTTCCCTTAACTCGGGTCAATTAATCGCTTCGCTGATGCATCTCTCGATCGCGCACGCGATGTACCCCTCCGGTGCCGCTTGACGGCTGACGCCTTCGTTAAGCTCATCTTCCTATCGTTCTCCTGCGCATCGTAAATCTATTCTCAGATTTCGCACAGTGCTCTCCAGATCTTTTACACGAGAACATTAGACGTTCAAACGGCCTAAGCGTCTAAATTTACGTAGCTGTCGGATTGACCAAGCCACCATCTCGAAAAGATCTCGCGTCGGCCGAGTCGTCTTTCTTTTCGGACCGCCCTGTATATACATTCGCAGCAGGTAGGCTGCTTTTCTAGTGCCGTCAATGACGATCCGTCCCGTAGTCTCGCATCGTAGCTCGCGTGAGAACCCGCGTTTCCTCGCGCTCGTCCCGTCCTCCGTATCGCGGACGGGAAGAAGCCGCTACACCGTGAAATATATCAGCTTTATCGTTCAGTGCGATAGCCGAAAGTCAATGCAATCGTCACCGATAACAGTGCCATATTTGATCTGTATGGATTTCCCGTATTACGTTGCGCGAGACCCACGTTGCAAGCTCTCGGCTAAAAGATATTATAGCGCGATATTACAGCTGACATTTATTCTGCGTGTTTGTATCCCCTCGTCGAAGGATTGCGCAAACGGACTGTAATAATACATCGTTACATCGCATCGCGTCGCGTCGAGTCGCGTCGCACGCACGAAGATAATTCGGTGACGCCGCGCCGGCGGAAAAATTCCGTTGTTTGATATTCTAACGGTTGCATCTGTGTAGAGAGATACGCCCTTTTGTTCAAACGCCCCTCGTTCAAACAATCTCAGCCGGATCGAATTGTCGACTGGGGATTATCGGAGTAAAGTTCGAAAAAAGAACGCGTGTGATGTAGTAGAATACAATTTTCTGTCGGCATCAGGCAGCAGGTAATACTGTTCTTTACTTCCTAATCAGTAATTCATTTCGGTTATTCAATAAACCGCTCGAGACGACGCCGGCTAATCGAATGTCTGCAGTGTCATCCCTGTACAAAATGTCGAATTGAAACGTATTAAAAAGTATTGAAGATTTTGATTTACGCTTGAATTTTGCTTTCTGATCCGAAGGAAGGGATTGTAAAGTATTAGTTCCCATTAAATTTCACCGCGCTAAGTGCGAGACGGCAGTGGTGAATGCTTGGCATTAAAAAGGATTCAGTTCATTTCGAATATGCCTTGCATTCAATCGCAATCGATAATTTTCAAATGCGAACTTTCGCATCGAAAAGTATTCACTTCTTCTCCTAATTGTTTTCGGATTCAGAGGCATACACAAGATTTTCACGTTCTATTCCCCGCTAGCATTGAGAAGTATTGGCCCGCGATCCGATCCGAGATTTCCGCAAAGCAGAATTCATGACGAAATCTCGTGAATGCGGAACAATACTTTTAAATACGACATTTTATACAGGGATCTGTTCGCATTAGAGTCGCTGTCAGAGCAAATATTTCTCCATGTGTGTCGCGATACACCGCTGTTGACCGTTTATTCGTTGACCTGACGACCTTTCGCGCTTCGACAATCGTCACTTCCTGAAATTTTTGTCCGCACCTCAGTCGTCGCACGGAAATGTCGCCGGATCACAGAAACGTTACGTATACCGCAGAGCTTTAGAGTCACAGAGTCGTAGAGTCGCAGAGCAGTGACCTGGATCCTTGTTACGCGCAAATGATTAACGACGCTGAATCTCATTTCGACAGAGGTTCCTCGTCGCGACATCGTAATCTCCTCGTGCGATCGCCGCCTCGTGAGTCACTTCTCTTCACGTTCGCTTGTTTATTCATGCACTCTTTTGCACCCGCAATTGTGCGCGCACACTCTCCTTTGTAAATAACTGCATTCGCAGCGATTTCCGTTGGACACGCAGCGGCGGAGTCGTGTTTACGGCGCCTTAACTTAATACTGATTAGTTCGCACCTTCCCGCTGTTTCACCTACCGGCTCGGTCCGAGCTCGTTCGGTTCATGCACTAACGGTTGCGGGACAGCAGCGAGTAATTAATAAAGTAATTCGCTCAATTACGCATATTATATTCATGGGGCATTTGTATCATTACTATATATTATGTCATCTCTAGAGCGGCTTGGCACTCTCGATGGAGTCGTGCTCTACATTCCTCTCTTTCTTCTCCGACTCACGTTCTTTGTGGTGCTTTCGTGAGTAAGCTTCCGCGGAGCGATAACGCAGGACCGGCGATGATTACACCGTCTGGCCGTTGGTAGTCTCACTAATTAGTACAGAATGAAACGGCATCTGGGAACGGTGTTGCTCGCGTTTCTCGTGATCCTGAGCGTTGTCGGGAGCGTCGTGTCCGAGGATTCACAGGGATCATGGGAAGGAAGTGTTAACCCGCGGCTGTCCTATTTGGAGGTAGAGACAATTCCACAAGTGCGATCCCGTTTCTCGCGACGTATCTGGCGCCATTCCGAACGCGCAGTATTATCGATATACGCAGCTCTAAGGCCCAGTTCCGCAACTTATTGTAAAAGTTGGAGTTTAACTCGTTAATCCTAGTTTGGAGGAAAAGTTGTGTTCCACAAATGCCATAAAGCACGCTTATAACGTCGATTTTCCGCAGTTAAGGTTAAACCCTCAACTTTGGGCGTTTAGTGAATTGAAACGAAGTTTAACACTCATCGGGTTGAGACTGCGTTCCGATATTCACTGTCAGTACAGAATATATTCTATAATATACAGGATGTTAAATTTCAAACGTAACAGGTAAACAATCTCGAAAACTATGAAAGATATTAAAAAAGCTAAAACACGTGTTCCATGATTTCGAAGGGGAAAGAGAATGGCATTATCAGTTTTTTATTTGGAGGGCATTTTCAAGGTCAGTTGAAGGTCAACTTAATTTTTCAAAATAGAAAGCCCAATTTTTTATTATATCTTCTTTTTCTACCAATTAATCTTAACAACTTTTGTCTGAAACATTTGTTTATTTGCCTAATATTTTTTGAAATATTTAAGGAAAACTTGATAACTTTTTCAACATTTAACTTACGATATCTCGCTAACTATTCGTCGAAAGAAAAAATAGTATTAAACTTTTTTACTTTATTAACTGTCAAGAATATATTACTATAATAGTGCCCTAACTTTTGTTAACTTATTAACTTATTAACCTTTGGAGATTTCAAAATTATTAAATTAACTATTATTAACAAAATTAACTTGGATCCTTCAACTGACCTTGAAAATGCCCTCCAAATAAAAAAGTGATAATGCCATTCTCTTTCCCCTTCGAAATCATGGAACACGTGTTTTAGCTTTTTTAATATCTTTCATAGTTTTCGAGATTGTTTACCTGTTACGTTTGAAATTTAACATCCTTTATAGAATATTATAGTATATTATAGAATATATTCTGTACTGACAGTAAATTAACAAAATTATTAAATTATATATATTAATTTATTATATTAAATTATTATTATATTAAATTATATATATTAAATTATTAAATTAAGAGAGAAGACGACCGTTATATATTGAAGAATTTGACGACGTTGATTTTCACACACGATTTCGTTTATTCAAAGAATCTGTTACTGTAGTTCCAGCAGAAGTCGAGCGACTTTTTTCGTCCTTCCTCCCGTTCTACTTTCGAGCATTTATCACATTAACCAATCACAATCTATGTTTGACAAGAAGTAGACATCCTTGGGACTTTTTTCGTACAGACTTTAGGTTTACATAAACTACGATTGTAAATGCGACGTGGAACGCAACGCAAGTTTAACCATGACGTTAAATGTAACAGCCGCTCAGCTAAGCTTGCTTCGAACTCGAATTTGTGGAACTGGGCCTAACTTGTCGTGTCGGCTTTCCGTTAAGCCGTAATCACATTTGGCGATTGGCGATTAAAATTATTTGTCTAAACGGTAATCATAAATCTCAATCGATGCCTGTTTTGCTCTGATTGGTTGACAAGTAATCGTCAATCGCAATTGCAATCCAATCGGCAATCGCTAGTGTGATTACTGCTTTATGCACATCGGACACGCGAACTTATCCGGATGGCTCCTAATTTTCATCATCGGACTCTCAACGGCGGTCGATGGTGCAAACGCACTCTCGATAATAATGCTTATAGACGCGACAAAATGGCGGAAAAACTCGCGACATTTGCGACTGCTTGCTCATCGATCAGCACTTATCAGGCAGAATCGCATCCCGGAACTCGAGAAGCCCGCTCAAAGTTACGTACGTATCTTATAATCATTCGCTCGAGCGTGAATAAATTATTACGTAACGCGAAAAAAAAGACTTACTCATTCCCGTAGACTCGTAGATCTATACAAAGAGCCATATCAAATCACGCCAATTTGCGCCGACGAGCTGCGTACGTAACGACACGAACGTTCCTTATTACCGGCATAATAAAGTCCGCTCAATCGACTCAATTTCGCGACGGCTTGGGATCGATTTGCTCTGCCCAATTCAACGTAATCGCCGGTTAACGCTGCCTCTGCCTACGTTCTCTGGAATTCCACGGCTCTAGAACAACTCGTTAGTCGATGACGACGGCGGCTCGGGGAAGGCCCGGCTGTCGCTATGCTGTCATGTCGGCACCTTCCTCAGCGGGGACGACTGCGTGCAAAGCGCGGACGAGACGGAAGTGACGCTGCCGACGATCCACGAGGTCGACCTCGCGCCGGCGAACATCACCGCGAGCGACGAGCACTTCTCCATCAAGGTGTGGGACCCATGCGCCGGCGGTAACCGCTACACCTTAAATCCGCATGTCTACCCGGACGAGCGGTGGTATCTCCTGCCGAACGGCTCCGTATACTGCCCCAGGGCCGAGGCGGAGGAGGATCGTCTGCTAAACTACGACCAATACTGCCTGGCGAGAGTGCCCAAGTACAAATACTCGGAGTACCTGGTGTTCTTCTGTGAAGAGACGTACCCGGACGAGGAGTACTATGAGGAGGAGAGCGAGGTCGTGTACTCGTTCGGCATGATCGCCTCGGTGCCGTTCCTCGTCACCACGTACGTCGTCTATTGGCTGCTGCCCGAGCTGAGGAACCTGCACGGTCTAACGCTGCGCAGCTACGTCGGCTGCCTGACGACGGCGTACTTCATGCTGACGGTGGTGCAGCTGACGCCGCAGGATCGGATTTCGTACGAGGGATGCATCGCAATCGGTATATTCCCAAAGAGTGCAGCTTCTACTTCTTCTTCTTCTTCTTCCTCCCCTTGCCCGTAATCGCTGGCTGTTAACGCAACCGAGAGGATCGCGAGAAGGATGCGACGACGGAAGGCCAGACGACCTGAGCGAGCCAGCGGACCTCCTGGAAACATCGTGTCCCGTCTTGTCGTCTTTTCTGAATCAAGTATTGTGTATTGCGAACACCCGCCGTTACACGCTGGCCGCGCCGGTCACCGGATGGAACGCGGTTAGAAATCTTGCGAAGATCGCCTCACGCTTAGCGCGACAACTTTCTAAACTGCCTCGGCAACATCTTCGCTTTTTTTTCTTTCTCCCGCGTTCATGGATGCTGGAATTATACTCGGGGAGATCCGACGGTCCGTTATTATGCAGAGGTACAGGCGTTATTTGTCGATAACACACACACACACACACTGGTGTAGGTGCACTTCTCGATGGCTACTAATGGCGTGAAATAAGTGTTCGGAGTTGTGTAACTGGTTACATACATCTGTGCGACTCCGCTCATCCTGCTTCTACGTTCTCTCGCTTTTTGTATGTTCCTTTCGGAACTTCTGTCGTTCTGTGATTCGTGTAAGATCCAGCAAGCAGTGCTAATACACAAACAACCCATTCTAACGGTCATTCAGATTTCAAAGGTCCCGCGCGATATCCACGGATGAAGTAAGAAACGGGGTGTGGAAGGTCTGAAAGAATTAACCGAACGTTCTAGCGCTCGTCATTCTGACTCTGTTCAGTAGAAGAATCACCCAATTTCCTCGCTGGAACCGCCGGACACATTTCGGAACATATTCGAAACAGGGCTTCCCAAGTACTTGAAATTTCCCACGATAATCCACGATAATCGATTTGAACCAATGGGGATCGCGGGTCTCATTACACAGGCACACCAAAAAGAAAGTTGCTTGTTCGCTAGACTACACCGTCATATCTATATGTTTTCGGTCGATCGTTGAATCCAAATCCGTTGTCCGTTTTACCCCATAACAGGGGTAGGGTCAGGTTTCGTCCCTAACTTACAAAAATACCTCAGAATCGCTAAAATAGCGTTTTTAAAGCTGCACAGTGAACACTGGCGACTGAAATCTATAGACAATAGACTACTTATGGAGATATTAAATTTGAATTTTGAAGTTGGATCAATCTTAACAGGTTAGAATTCCATTTCAACTCTAAATATATCACAATTCTCTATTCATTTTTTTCCTATTGTATCTAACTTTTTTACTCTCGAAAGATCTATGAAGTGGCTTTCTTTTACGTTTGATTTGAATCAAACGTAGGTACAGTGGTGTAGTCTAGCGAATAAGCAACTTCTTTTTTTCTAGTGTGCCTGTGTTATTATGAATCAATCTTATCTTCGGATTCTCGTTAGAATAGATTAATACAGAGAGAACAAAATTTCCACGACGAATGATATGACTCATCCTGCCGGTTGCAGAACGGAAACGCGCGCGTGTTGCATGTCGGAGCATTGAAGGCCTTTAATAATCGGTTCACTCGAAGCAAGTACTGATCACACCACGCTGCACATTCTCCGAAACCATAGACGGGTCCACAGACGGACCATGAGACTCGTCGACGCAAAGGGGTTAATGTCTCCCCCTGTCGCATCGCTAGAAGCCGAGCCAAGACCTGCCTTATCGAGGTGCCTTATCGGCGTCTCCTTCCCCGACGCTCTCTCGCGCGCTCGCTGTGAATGCGATTATGCTGCTCGAGACGAGAAGGTCGCCGCCAAGTCATAGACAGTATCACATATATCCTCGTTTCCGTAGTTCGCGGTATCGCTGTGGTCACTGGACGTTTGACGGGGCCTGTCATAAGAAGAAGCCAAGTCGATTCAGTGCGATCCTCGACGAGTCCGCGGCGAAAGGTCGAAGATGCGCCGGCCGAACTCCATCGCGTGGTGCACGCTTCTGCTGGTCGTCGCCTACGCGACGGAAACTCAGGGAATCCCCACGATCCAAAAGCAGAATGACAACACAGTGCCGTACGAGCCCTACGTCAACTTCACCGACACGTGGGATCGCGACGGGAATTCCACGAGGGGCCGCAACGACTCAGTGCAGCACGAGTTTCACAGTGACTACACGAAGAACTCCCGCAAACCGGACGATCAGGATGCGCTGACCAAGCTCTTTAACAATTGCACGAAACCCGACGCGTTGCTTCGTCTACAGAATAATTCCAAAGAAGACAGCTGGCGGAAGATTTGCAACGGTACGGCCTGCATCCCGATTTGTTGCGAGCTGGGCTATCGCATGATCAAGGACGTATGCGTCCCCGACGACGGTGATTATCCATTCCCGGATGTGCTGAACGTAGGCAAGAAGGTGAACGATGTCTTCGACCTGGTCGTGTCGGATCCCTGCTCTGTACACGGGCGCTACTCGCTCGACAACATCCTTTATCCCAGCGATGAGTACGTGGTCCTGTCCGACGGTTCGATATATCAGCCGGAGCCGTGCATTTTCATCGATCCGGCAACCTACTGCTTTGCTGTCCTTAACAAGAGCAAGTACGAACTGACCATGTGCTTCGACGAAACGAGTGTGCCCGTCAAAGAGCTGGAGTTCAGCGGCATACCCATCGGCATCATAGTGTCCTTGCCGTTCTTGCTGATGACGTTCGTGGTGTACACCATACTGCCGGACCTCTGGAACATGCACGGCTACACACTCCGCGGATACGTTGGCTCGTTGTTCGTCGCGTATACGGTCCTCGCGTCGTTCCAGCTGACCACGCCGAGCACGTTATCGACTGCTGTCTGCATCGGATCGGGTACAGCTTGCGTACATCGTATAATCGATCGATTTTATCGGTGATCATTGCGATTCGTTAGGCTCTGTTTTGGGCATTGATCACGTACTGGTTGACGTGTCTGGTTACTCTCTACCGATTGGGAAATTAGTCAGGGTCTTGGGGTAGCATGAGAATTAGTAACGGGGCAAGTCTCAATGTGGAATACGCGCTGCTTTACAAAGACGTACGACTAACTTCGCTACGTTCTTGGTTAGATCCTTTTCTCTTGATCTGATCGAAACCATACGAAGGTCGTGTCTCCCTAGGAGGGACGTCGTTTTGTTCGACTTTGGGCGCGTACCTGTTGCGCTTCTTGTCGCGCCGCCTTTTCCGTCACAGGTGGCTTTTTTCTGTTTCTTCTTCGTTAGTAGTGGCACAACGGATACAGTTGTTGTTTTTATCGTTACTGAGTACATGTAGAGAGTACACGTCCACAGAATAGGCCGAAACGTATCTTGAAGGAAAAAGATTTCCCGAGACTGGGTGAGAAAAATCATCGTAACGATTCGTTAGTTCTTGAATAACGGTAACGAGTTGCTCGTCACGAGCAAGGGTAACGATTGTGAATGTTCAAGGGTTAACTCGATTACTTTTCAAAAGTAGACGTCTCTGGTCTTCACAGCGGGATGTGGTAATAAGTGTAAGACTCTCTGGCCCTCCGATGCAACCTGACTTTGAAACTCTGTTTGTTTGACTGTTTCAGCCTTCGTCATTCACTTCTCATTCTTGGCGAGCTTCTTCTGGCTGAACGTGATGTGCTTCGATATTTGGTGGACGTTTGGGTAAGTGGCAAAATATCCACGCGCTATACTTCATTCGCCAATTCCACGCTGAGTTTTATGATATTTTCGCAATCGAGTCACGGTGATCGTCACGCGTATATATATGTGTGTGCGTGTGTGTGTGTATGTGTGACTTTCGCAGTATTTCTACCTTTATTTTCTACCAGTATTCACCTTGAAGCCGGACACTGGATTGGTGGAACTGTTACGTTGGAAATTTGAATATCAATCATTCCGCGGAAATAACTTCCGTCTTTGGGATGTGCGTAGTATAACTTGAAACATCTCGGAAACACGCGATTATCCAACAGCGCGGATTATCATTTTGACAAGAGCCGTGTTATTTTATCCTTCCGTTGTTTATCAGCAACTGATGTGGCCAAAAAGGAGTTATCACATGCATAGAACATCACATTGGATTTTTAACGTGTATGTGTGTATGTAGAATTTATAAAAGGTTTGGAAACCTTTGAAAATTTCGAAAAATACGAGGGCAGTCTGAAAAGTTCTCGGCCTGACACATAGATGGCATTAGAAAACTGTCAAACTATAATTGTATTGGAAAGTGGCATCCCTGATATAAACCCATGTAAAATTTTATTTCGACCTGTCAAGTCATTCGAGTAGTAGCACCAGTTTAATATTGACGTGTCATTGTCTTTTTTAAAATGGAAAAAATTGAATATCGTGCAGTGATTAAATTCTTTGTTCTGGATGGTTTAACACCAACAGAAATTCATCCGAAATTGTTAAAAGTGTATAAGGATGCATCACCTTCATTTTCCACTGTGAAAAAATGGGCTGCTCTTTTTAAATCTGGTCGTACAAGCCTCGAAGATGAACCACGCGAAGGTTGTTCAAAAACTGCTACAACACCACAAAACATTCAACAAGTCCATGATATGGTGTTAGATGATCGGCGAGTGAAAATGCGTGAAATAGTTGAGGCCATAGGCATCTCAAAAGAACGAATTGGAAATATTTTGCATGAAGAATTACGTATGAAAAAGCTTTATGCAAGATGGGTGTCGCATTTGCTAACAATTGAACAAAAACGTATTCGAATGCGTATTTCTCAAGCGTGTTTGGATCGTTTTAAGTAAAATAAAATGGATTTCAAGCGTCGTTTCATGAAACTGTTGATGAAACTTGGATCCACCACTATACACCAGAGCGAAAAGAATAGTCGAAACAATGGATTGAAGCCGGTGGACGTGCACGAAAGAAGGCAAAGACGGTTCCATTAGCAGGAAAGGTTATGGCAACAGTTTTTTGGGATTACAAAGGTGTTTTGTTGATCGATTATCTTCAGAAAGATAAAGCGATTAACTCTGAATATTGTTGTAACCTTTTGGATCCATTGAATGCAAAAATTCGTGAGAAAAGGCCTGCTTTAAAGAAGAAAAGAATCGTTTTCCATCAAGACAATGCATGTGTTCACACAAGTGTTTTGGCAATGGCAAAATTCAACGAATTAAAGTACGAATTGTTTGAACATCCAGCGTATTCACCAGATTTGGCTCCCTCTGACTATTATCTGTTTCTAAATCTGAAAAAATTCCTGGCTGGAAAGCATTTTACATCAAATGACGAAGCTATTGCAGCCGTGGATGGACATTTTGCAGACCTTCCGGAATCACACTTTAATAATGGTATTGAATTATTGGGAAAACGTTGGAATAAATGTATTGAAGTTTTAGAAGATTATATTGAAAAATAAAATATATTTCACGGCAAAAAAAATTTTCTTTCATTGTTAGGCCGAGAACTTTTCAGACTGCCTACGTATATATTTTTAGAAAAAGTGTTTCGGACAAAAGTTATATGGTTTCAAGGGGGACATAAAGCAAAACTACATCAGTTTGTTTACGGTTATTTGTTGATGGTGCCACTTTCGAGATATTCACTGATCATCACTTTTCTCAAATGGAAACCCCAATTTTCTGTTTTATATCATCTTTTCCTACCAATTAATTTTAATCACTTATGTCTGAAACATTTTTTTACACATCTAATATTTTTTGAGATATTTAAGGAAAACTTGGTAATATTAAAGATATATATTTTTCGAAATTTTTAGGGGTTTCCAGACTTTTCGTAAACCTTGTGTATATATATATGTATAACATTAATTATTTATATTGGTTATATATTGAAGTAATTACGACCGCGACATTAATTACGCGTTAACGAAAATAAGAGATTCGCAATGGGGGGTCCAGGGTCGAAATGGATTAATCGATTCGCCAAATATTTTCATAGGCGCCACTCGATCCGCGCGCGACGACGTTTCTGAGAGAGAAATTTGATAATTGACAAACACCGGGGGGAAATTGATAGCGACACGACGCGAATTAATATCCGGTACGTGACCGGCGCGCGTATGTGCCGCAAACACAGCCCGAGTTAATTTTGATCTCCTCACGCGGCCGGTCGGAGCGGCAATTTGGGCGGAGGCAACATTCGCCGTAACGGCAAAAGTCAAAGGCTGTATCGCCAACAGATATTGACACATGGCGGAGGAAATCGTGACGATCGCCGCGGCCAATCGAATACCACTATTCGCTAAATTTTCGCTCGTGTACTCTCGAGGGAATATCTGCCGGATATCGACATACTCGATAATGTACCTCTCCCGTAGTTTGCATTGTTGTTTTTTATTTCACGAAGGCAAATGAAGGTACAACTTTGGACATTCTTGTTATTTTCGTCACAAACGCGAATATTTAAACTTTCAACATGAGACGTGCATATACATCCTACGCGCACGGGGTTGTATTTCAAAATAAATTTCTTTTTATTTGCAGAATATCTCTTTGTTTTCGATAAGGAGGAGGTTTTCGATATTCGTCAATTCATTGACACTTGTATTATCATCTTGCGAAAACATTTGCAATTCTACACAAATGGAGCTCTAGAACATAAATTCCAAGATATAATTCTATAAATATAAATATAATTATAAATGTGATAATAATTATAATTCTATAATTATAAATATAACAATAATTAAAATAATAAATCGAATAAATAAAATAAATAAATAAAATAAGAATAAATGAAAATATAATTCTATAATTATTAAATGTAATTCCATATAAACAGAAAGAACCGAGCGAATCACAAAAAGCTGCATTATATCAATGTCTAGCATCTCCTCGGCGCGATTGCAGAGCGATGTTTCCGGGCGCGAGTCCGTCTCATTGACACAATTTGCCGGAGCGATAACCGCTGAACGTTACGTTCGAATACGAATTAAAAGGGGACGATAACACGGCCAGTTACGCCAGTAGTCCGTCAAGTTGATGATCCAATTCAAAGAAGTAATTCGCATTCGCCCCCATACGTTACGTTACACCAGCTCGTTCGTTCACTCGCTAACGCGTTTCCCACTTTCTCGTCTAATTACGCGAATTCGCGTCGGGATACTGCAAAGTAATTTTTTATCTCTCGCGTGTCTTCGATGAAATTCCATGACGTGCCGACGTTGAGCCGCTATTTACCGTGCGGGGACGGATGGCTGTCGCCAAGCCCCGTTTCGCTCTGTTACAAGGGTGTGACGACTGTGTGTATGTGTGTGTATGCGTATATACAGGGTGCTAAATTTCAAACGTAACAGGTAAAAAATCTCGAAAACTATGAAAGATATTAAAAAAAGCTAAAACACGTGTTCCATGATTTCGAAGGGGAAAGAGAATGGCATTATCAGTTTTTTTTATTTGGAGGGCATTTTCAAGGTTAATTGAAGGTCAACTTAATTTTTTAAAATAGAAAGTCCAATTTTTTATTACACCTTCTTTTTCTATCAATTAATTTTAACAACTTTTGTCTGAAACATTTGTTTATTTGCCTAATATTTTTTGAAATATTTAAGGAAAACTTGGTAATCTTTTCAACATTTAACTTACGATATCTCGTTAACTATTCGTCGAAAGAAAAAATAGTATTAGACTTTTTTTATTTTATTTACTATCAAGAATATATTATTATAATAGTGCCTTAACTTTTGTTAATTTAATAATTTTGAAATTTCCAAAGGTCGATAAGTTAACAAAAGTTAGGGCACTATTATAGTAATATATTCTTGATAGTAAATAAAGTAAAAAAGTCTAATGCTATTTTTTCTTTCGCCAAATAGTTAGCGAGATATCGTAAGTTAAAAAAGTTGTTGAAAAAGTTACCAAGTTTTCCTTAAATATTTTAAAAAACATTAGGCAAATAAAAAAATGTTTCAGACAAAATTTGTTAAAATTAATTGGTAAAAAAAGAAGATATAATAAAAAATTGGGCTTTCTATTTTGAAAAATTAAGTTGACCTTCAACTGACCTTGAAAATGCCCTCCAAATAAAAAAGTGATAATGCCATTCTCTTTCCCCTTCGAAATCATGGAACACGTGTTTTAGCTTTTTTAATATCTTTCATAGTTTTCGAGACTTTTTTACCTGTTACGTTTGAAATTTAGCACCCTGTATATATATGTGTGCGTGTGCGACATGCGGTACGTTTTCTCGTAATCAATTACAGAATGCGAGCGGTCGGATAGTGCGGGGATTAATTTCCCTCTTTCCTTCGGCTGTCGTGCGTGCACACGTCTCCTCCTTTCTACCCGCATACGCGCTCGCTCAACGAACCCGCGTGTCCTTGCGGATATATCACGTGAATCATTATCCTCCGGCCCGATATGATTTCACGTACGTGTGTTAATAGTTTCGAACCGCGCATTAATCTTGTAACTGTCTTACGCCCGCGCGTGTCCACCTCGTGCACTCGAGCGTCAACCTGACTCTTGAGACTTCCTGCAACCGTGGGCGTCGATTATAAATCTTCTCCTCTAGCGTGAACTCTCGTGATGTAAAAAGTCCCATTGCGAAATCAGCGTTCGCTGACGAGACTTTTCACTTGTCTTTCACGACTTCGCGTCAGAGAAAAGATATATGAGCGCCTTGATTATGTAATTTCCCCGGAGCGGAAGCGTGAAGAATTTCACGTGAATTCACGACGACTCTGACGATTGTGCAACTTTCCGACCTGCGGAAATATGAAATTTCTCACGTGAACTTGCTTGCTCTGAAAGCTGAGGGTCGATCTTGAATAGTTTTCATCAGCGTGAACTGCTGAAAGATGAACATTTACTGATTTGGAAGTATTTGGAAATGTTCGCTCGTTCACGCCAGAGGATGCTTATTCATTATCGCTTGCCTGATGATGAACATGTACAAATTTAATAAAATCTAAATATTTTTTTAAATATTTTAAAATCTAAATTTTTCAATGTTGCATGCGTCCATTATATATATTCCCATTGGTATTCAGAGTTGGTTTTCACGACTATATGTAATCTTCTTTAAAAACGAGTAATATCCAAATTCAAGACAGTAATTAATTAATCGCGTTTAATGACTTCATGTCACGCGTTCGATTATATAAGCGCTTCTGCGAGAAAGTTCACGCGAGATCGAGATGAGCAAAAAACGTAAAGTGAAAAATTCCTCTCGAAATTGCATGGTACTCTGAGTGGCGATCATGTAACTCTTTTCTCAGAAACGGAAACGTGAAAAGTGAAAAGTTTCACGTTATCCGGGAAATTATGCGAGTCGCTGAATCGTCGAGCTCAGCTGTTTACCTTTCGTATTCCCGTTTTTAGCCACATTATCGCTACCCTGGAAAAAAGTCGGACGAAAGAAATGGTCACATGATCGCTGAAAAAAGAAAGATCGTTATCTCAACGAGCGAATAATCCTTGGGGATATGAGCGTTAATGAAAATAGAAATGTCGCCTGTCTTCTTGTCGGATTACATTTCATCTACGCGCAGCTCGTAATCCTCGAATGTAGCTGTGAAGAGTAATGAAGTCACGCGATAAATTACGATTAATAGTGTACGACCAGACATCGTAGCTAAATTGACGATTGATCGAGGCTCAATTTCCCGTCCTCTCATTCCGCTCTCTTCTCTCGATCGGCGTAGATCATCGTAACATGGTCCTTTCAGGTGTTTGCTCTCATCAATGAACGATGACTCTTCAGGAAACGCTTCAGCGTCTAATTCGTGACGCGAACGTGTAGGATAGGTTAAGATAGGTGCAAGAACGGTCGCGTATACTATATTATATTATACTATACTAGGGTGTCCGGGATTTTTAAAAAACGAAAAATTGTGAAGATTAATCAGATCAAACTGAAGAGAAGAAAAGTCTAGTATTATTTTGCAAAAGTCGCAATAGTTGTTAAGTTATTAATGATTGAAAATGGCCACATCTAGAGGCTCTTTTAACTGATTTGCATATTTACTTGCAAAATGGTAAAGGCCTTTTTTGTTCAGAATGATCTAACCTATAATTATATGATGTAATTATATGACGGCTATTATGTCTAGCGACAGATATGAATATATTCAACTTTAAACCTTGAATTTTGAACCTGTCGCTAGACATAATAGTCGTCATATAATTGTAGGTTAGGTCATCCTGAAAGGTCCTTCACTATTTCTTAAATAATACGCAAATTTTCCATGAAAAGAGCCTCTAGATGTGGTCATTTTCAATCATCAATAACTTAACAAATATTGCGATTTTTGCAAAATGGTACTTGACTTTTCTTCTAAGCTTGATCTGATTAATCTTCACAATTTTTCGTTTCTAAAAGATCTCGGACACCCTGTATAACGTCACCTTTAAAAAGAGGAATCATTTTATGAAGTTTTCTAACAGTTTTAGATTGTTTACGATTGTTTACTGATCAGGTGGTTCGTATAAATAATACATTAACTCTTTTCAGTCCTGTGTCGGAAGTACACCGTTTTCTGTTCATTAATACTACACTCGGAATGAATCTATTCGATATAAATAAAAAAAGTCATTTATAAATTTATAACATTCTTACTACGATAGAGCATATAACGTTTTCTAATATGTGATTTTTATAGCTTCGACATATTTCGATATCTTTACAACATTCGACGATTTTTACGATATTCGAAAGTAATATCATGTCATCCGATAATATCTTTGACGAATCGCAGGGGTCAGCAAGAATGTTGGAGAAACGCGTATAAAATTAACACTTCAGAAAAGGTTGATCTGATATTTTTTTCACTTTTTTTTTTCGCTAGTGCAAACATGTTGCCGCGTTGAATGCTGAAAGAAACGTAAAGTACGCACAATGAATGAATTTCCGTGAATTGTTTGAGGAAAAACGTCGTAAGTTATTCTTCGGATCGCAAGATTTCTTAAATGAATTATTAAAGGAACAATATGTCCCCTCACTTATCAACATTAGTTACTTATGTCGCATGTGATTCACTGTCGTTTCGAAATAACATGCGCTGAAAAGAAGGAAGATTAAAGATTAAAATAGAGACCGAATAGGTTTCCGGGAAAACTGACCAGAGAGGCGATAATCATCTTAATGTGCGATTGTAAAGCATTCGCTCGTGCTTCTGTTATTACTATTATTACTATTATGCTGATCGAGATGAATAATTCCGCAGAGGATTCCGCTCGCTGCAGGGAAGTGTGAAGCAACGGGAGAGAAAAAAGTTCATCATGTATTCGATCTACGCGTGGGGCTGCGCCTCCATTCTCACTATCGTCTGTGCCATTATGGATTTCGTTCCCACCGTGCCGGAAACCTTCATCAGACCAGAATTCGGCGCAGTAAGATGTTGGTACAAGAGTAAGTACAGGCACAAATGGATGTCTTCCGTTGACTCCAGCGTTAGCCCAGGTAGAACGGAAAGTTATGTCGGAGTGACGAGCAAACGATCGAGTGTCGTGATCGTAAAGTGAGTTTTTACAGTCATTTACAGTCTCGTCATCATCGAGATATTCTGTTCCGCTTGGGCCATCGAACTCCCGTTACAGATATATCTGTGAGATCTCAATTATTAAAAGTATTAAATAAATAATCAATATAGTTAACGTTAGTTTTTTTTAATGCCGAATAAATAATAATGGAGGGGACTCGCATTATTATTTGCAAAACGCTAACGATTTGTTATTGCCACTTTCAGCGGATAAAGCAAGGGCGGTGTATTTTTATGGACCCATGAGCGTTACTATTATCTGCAACATCTGCCTGTTTATTTCCACGGCGTTGAAAATCGTGCGGCACAAAAAAGACACGGCCCATCATCTGAGAAGCTCGGAGAGCAGACGTCACGACGACAACAAGCAATGGTTCGTATCTAACCGACGAGGTCGTCAACATCATTGTTTCGATATGCATTAATCTGCATAAGTGATGAAATTAATAACATTGATATTGCCTTCCGCGAATGACCTCGCATAATGTCGATCGGTCCTCGTTCCCAACACGCTGATTATTTTTAGACAGCGACTTTCCCATGCGGCGGTTTGCTTTCATAATTACGAAATCTTTTGAAGAAACAAACACATCGCCGCCGTTTCGACCGCGAGCGCGAGATTCCTCCGGCGATGCGGGAGCGTCTGCGATCCCGGAAAGAATGACGGACGGCCGTGCGAATGTAAAATCGAAGTGAATGCTCTCAGTATAAAAGGGCAGGACGAAAGCCACTCTTCTTCGAAATCCTCTTAAGAGAAACCTGAAAAATTTACTCGAACGTTGGCTCGTTCCTTCTTTTTTTTTTTTTTTCAATATTGACTCGTCTGATCATAAGATAACCACGGTCGTCTGAAAATATTTATCTCCGCAGATATAACCTAGAAAATATTTTCGTGAATGGCAAAATTGGTTTAAAGATTTTAAGGCATGTAAGTGATTTCTGAAGCAACGTTCCATTTTAATCCCACTTTTTGCAGCTTTCGAAATATCATTCTGATCAAGATCATATAATACTACTACGTTCATGCGGGGACTTAAAATTCACCTTGTGTCATCTATACTTTACATTTAGATAAACCAGGAACTGCATACCGAAATTATTTTACTAACGATTTCATATTTTATATGCCGCAATTTTATAACACCGGTATTGGGGATAATATCGTTTTTATAATATCGATAGTTATACACATAAATCAGTATCTGAACAAACATAAAAACTAATACGATATCCCAAATTTGGTAACTACTGGTGATATTGACGTTGTTTAAAAAATTGTATTATAAGTATCTCACATGAAAAATGTAGCACTAGTAATTTTACAACATCATCAGATCAGTTTTATGCTGGTCATGTAAATGTAGTAAATAAACGATCCAATTAATCCATCGCGTCATAATCGCAACAGATATAACACGAAAAGTACGTTGCAGGTTCAATCTGTACCTGAAGCTGTTCATCGTTATGGGTATAAATTGGTCCATGGAAATAATATCGTGGGTGTTCAAGAAAGCGCCGCCATACGTCTGGTATCTGAGCGATCTGACAAATACTCTACAGGGTCTCATCATCTTTATCATATTCGTCTGGAAAGATAAGATAAAGAGACTGTTGCTGAGACGATTTGGCTGCCAGGAACGCGGTTTATTCTCCGGGAACTCAACGCGCAGCGGTTGCCACAGCTCGGCCTCGCGCACCTGCACCACGTCGGGAGTGATGTCTCTTCAGGAAAAGATCAGCCCTTATGTACAGACAAACTGCCGCGCGAAGAATGCGTCCGAAGTGACCAATCGCCCTTAGTATAACGCAAAGGTTTCTTTCGTACGCGAATCGCGGTCGATAATCGGCGATTAATTTGATGGTGCCGTAATTTCATTTTACGGTCAAGCATCAATTTTACATTATTATCTGTTGATCTCTCTTTCTCCCTTCACTCACTCTCTCTCTCTTTCTTATCTACAGAGTGTCTGATAGCTAATGACGTAATAACACCCGTGTATAAGTATAGCATATCGAACTATACAGGACATTTTATATTATTTTACAGATTTCGTAATAATTATGAAGAAATTAATTAATTAAAAAAAAAAACATCAACGAAGGATTGCGCAGAAAGCGGTAAGCCGAGCTTCGCAAGAAGGCCTCGTTCAAAATACTCGGAATTGTTTGACAATCTTCTGACAATGGCAGACGGCCCATGATGCTGGATTGCACGTCTTCATGGTCCATTATTAGATCGTCCGCCGTTACTAAATTGTCAACGTACTCGAGACATCTTGAATGAGAACTGCCTACCGTTTTTCGTACGTTTATTTGCTGTTATTTTTTAGTTGATATCTCTTGGGACTCCTAATGCACTGCCACGGTCATCATGCTTGATGACGTCAGAAGCAATGAAGCGCACGCCTGAACTTCTTGCGGCATGCGTTGAAATAAAAGAATATGTCCCTGATGTGACACTTGCGGCCGATTTGGCACATTTAGCAACATGTTCCGAGAACTTTTCTTTTGCTCCGACTATCAACAAACAAACGTAAAATTAACGTAACGTGCGACCTGCTTTCTCAATTTATTTTTTCTTATGATTTTGTTACGTCGATGCATCTTCTCGCTTTTTCAAATTAACCTCGACGAGAAAACAACTTGACGATCTTAGTCCACTGATCTTGAAGTGAGTCTCGACGATTATCTTATTTCTATTATATTTGGTCCATCTCCCTTTATTTATATATTTTTCTTGATTGTAACTTGCTCCATTGGCGGGTGCTTGATTTTGCGCTTGACTTTGTACTTGGCTGACTCGACAAATCGGCGCGCTGTACTCATTGTCGGAATCTCCGCTGCTACTAGAATCATAACCCGATCGAGAACTCCTTTTCCCAAGAAATGTATCGTTAAGTGCAACATTCTTCCGAGATGAGCACTCGTGTCGGATATTAGCCGTTGAATTGCTGCGTTATTCGCCGAGACGGTGGAACCTTTCGCGAAGATTCAATCGCAAGACCGACACTTGAAACGATATGACCGTGGTTTACCCTTTGAGACAAACGAGGAAACATGAATCTTAATAATTATTGCGATATCTATAAAATGATAAGAGACTTTCCTATTCAGCTTGATACGTCTTACATGCGTATGAGCGTCGAGTCGTTATCACACGAGGAAATATGAGTCTTAATAATTATTGCGATATCTGTAAAATGATAGGAGGCTTTCCTATCCAGTTTGATACATGCGTTCTACATGCATATGAGCGTCGAGTCGTTATCACATACTATGTGGTAATATCTAGGGCTTCAAATCAGTGGCACTCTGACTTTCAAGTGGCACATACACTTGTTTTCTCTTCGTCTTTTAATTCTTAATCTTTAGTTATGTATTCTCTATTAATATTTTAAGCCTTCACGATTTAAAATATTATAGATTTTTTTAATTTTTATATAACATGATTAGCAATATGTCTGATGTTATCATTTCTTTAATATTCATAGCGTTCCCCGAAATTTCCATGAAATTATCATATAAAACATTACCTTATGTTAGACAAACATAAAGCAGACAAACATAAACATATATTATTGTTGTATTAGAGATAATGATAGAGAAAAGAGTTTGAAGTCGTGCACCTGTCTCGTAATTGTGAATGTGTGATCACCTATATGTAAGATTATTGTAACCATTACTCGATTTCAATGTTTATTTTTATTTTTACGCTCATTCCTGGAAGATTCACAATACTACCATAAGTTACCATGGATTTATTATTATTACCATTCTTTAGTGAAGTAACAAAAGTATGTTTTGTAGAACTTACCTACATCAAATGTATGCCATGCCATAATTTTGTACAAATTTTACTTTAATATCACTTACAACACAATTAAAACTTAAGTTTACAATATTTTGTGACAGAGTTTTATTTACTAAGAAGATATCCCAATCAGAACCATAACGTTGATCCGACGTTGATTTGATGTTGAAATGGTCGATGAAACGTTGAATCAACGTTAATTCAACTCTCATTAACGTCGAATCAACGTTCTGGTTCTGACTGGGACTAAGACTCTCATTATACCGTGCCACATGGAATTGAACAAAATCGAGTTTTTCGGGACGTAAGTGCGTCTGTATTATCCTATAGTTTCTTTCATATAATCTATCCTTATACGATGAACTTACTTCCTGCATATCCTGGTACATCCTCAATACCTATCTCAAACATTTATTTCTAAAAGATATCTTTGTTATATTTGTTAGTTGTTAAAAAATGTATATTTAATGTGTATATTTTTTAACAACCAACCAATAAATGTAAGAAGGATAGAATGAGTTAAGTTGTGTGTTTTTGCGAAGTCCCTTACCCCGGCCATACATATAGTTTTTAATTTTATTATTATACAATAACACACGAGTTCACATATATTTCTTTATGTCTTTACACTACGTTTTAAATTTTACGCATTTGTACAAGCACAAATATTTAAAAACAATATTTCTTTTGAATTGATTTTCAACTAATTGTCATTTTATTTTTCAATCGTCATTTGGCTCGATATTTTCTTTCCAACGATGTTCTAGAGCGGTTATGTCAGATTAATAGGCCGATATGTCAAGATTTTCAAAATTGCCATTTACAGCGTCGCTGACTTCACCGTCGTTCGCAAATCTTTTCCCACCGAGCCATTTTTGAAGTTAGGAAAAAGCTAGAAGGGGCTATCCGCTAAATCTGGGGCTAAATCTGATGAATATAGTGGGTGAACAAGCAATTGGAATTTTAATTTATTGATTTTAGCTATCGCAACATCGTCGGCTGTCTGAACGTTTTGGTTGACATCAATTTTCAGAACTGTTTAATACGCCATCTGCGCTCATTTTTGAGCTGAAACTCGTTCGTTACATCTATTTTCAAGCGCTGTTGGTAAAGTCCCTAGTTGGAGTATGTTGTGTTACGCCCATTTTCTGATGGTTGATGTCCGTGCTGCACTCATAATTGAATATTGAGAAATACGGCATTGCGCGTGAACTTACATTACGTTTAATGACATGACTTTTTTCTCTACATACTGTTATGAATCTATTTGTATGTACATGTGCATATGAAATATCGCTCTCCATAGAAATGTAAGATAAAATTCCCATAATAATTACAGATTCTCACACGTGTATAAGATGTTTGGTAACTCAGCCATGATCAATTAGGGACATAGAGATTGAGATAAAAAAAAGTCAAATATAAGTAGTTGTAATATTTGATTGGTAAATAAAGTTTAAATTTCATACAAAAATCAGAATTAGTTTACATACCTAATATGTACAATTTGTTTTATGTCCACTGCTGGGAAGAGCGGAGAGAGAAAGGGCAATTGTTCTCCAGCAATAAAATCATTAAATATCTTGCGTTGGACCATAAAATTTTGTATTTCTACCACGGAAGGAAATATCCTCCCAGGCAAATTAATTAAAAAATAAAACTAGAGTTTGACAATCACATCCGAAATAATGAGCTAAGTTAGTTTTAAAAGGATTATTATTATATTTACACAAAAGGGTTTTGAAAGAAAAGATAACGCCAATGCGTTATCTTTCATTCTGCTGCATTCAGCAGACTCAACAGTTGGACAACATTACTAGATTTTCCACTGAATCTCGCTCCTGATTGGTAAATACTTCTGGGTCTATGAAGAATCTAAAAGAATACTCCAATCACAGACAATAATCAGTAAGCGCTCTCTGATCACTTTGTTCTACTGAACGCGGCCATTGTTGCGCACCAAACTTGATACGCGTACCAATGTTTCGACGATTTAAACTAGACCTATAGATTTGCAGCGCTGGCAGTGAATATCGGAATGCAGCCGCAGCCTGATTGCAGTATGACTGGAGCTCGATTCCTGACGTGCGAATGAGATGAGCATGTGAAAATCTAAATTATACAATGTAACGTGAACTGTACATTTTCGCATAACGCATCTTATTCGCTCGCCGTCAGAAATCAAGCCCCTGGCCAATAGAGCCCATGCTCAGGTCATAATTAACGAGCAGAAGAAGAGGGGTGTATTCAGTACTACAACCGCTCACTGAGTGCTAAGTGAGCCGTTGCATCTGACTGGTGTATATTTTTAAATCTAAAAGAATATACCAATCAAATATAAAAGCTCATTGAGAGCTCAGTGAGCGGTTGTAGTACTGAATGCACCCAATGGGTGCGTTCAGCGGAGAAAACCTCTCAGTGAGCGATTAATGACTATTGGTCCTTACTGTTAGATCCTTACATGCAGACCAATAACGTTGACGAATTACTCAACAGTTGCGCAACTGTTGAGTGCGTGAACGCCATGGGCTACGTTTACACGGCAAGGTTAATCCGGATTAGTAACAACCGTAGTTAGTGAATTCTTTGATTCGATTGGTATATTCTTTTAGATCTAAAATATACTCTAATCGGATTTGAGACTGCACTAACTACGGTAGTTACTAAAGCCAGCGGCACACGGTGCTTGTTTTCGTGCTGGATTGCTTGCTGGATGAAAATACTGCGTCCTGATTGGTGCATTTCCATCCATCTTCGGAAATGTACCAATCACAACGCAATATTTTCATCCAGCAAGCACAAAAACAAGCACTGTGTGCCGCTGGCTTAAGTCGAAGTAAAGCCAGCGGTACACGATGCTTGTTTTCGTGCTGGATTGCTTGCTGGATGAAAATACTGCGTTCTGATTGGTACATTTCCGAAGATGGATGGAAATGCACCAATCAGGACGCAGTATTTTCATCCAGCAAGCAATCCAGCACGAAAACAAGCACCGTGTGCCGCTGACTTTAGAAGCCGTGTAAACGTAGTCATAGTTGCTAGATGCAATATATTGTGACGCTACAGCGCATGCGTGAAAGCGTAAGCACGCTGCTTGAGTAAAAGTCTCAGTATCGTATCTCTTTTAAGGTATTATAGCGCCTGTATTATACTATGCATTGAGAATTGCAATCGAGTAAATTAGATAATCTAAATCGTGGTTATTTTAATTGGTTCGATAGTAATTCTCAATCTACATTACAATTTTTCACTTAACAATGTCATTGTTACATAATACAAGTATTATGTACCAGTGACATAGTCGAGTGAGAAATTATAATGTTAATGTAACGTAACTGTATTTATTATCCACTGGATAACATAACCTAAGATAAGATACTCGCGCAAGAAACGCGGGAAAACTATGCGGGAAGACAGCTGATCGGATAGCGTGGGTCCCTCCATGGACCCTGCGATGCGCTTTGTTGCCGTCATTGGCATATGCTTTTGTAGAGCTACGTCTCTCACGCATGCGCTGTAGCGTCGCAATATATTGCATCTAGCAACTATGGTGAACGCACCCAATGGGTGCATTCAGTACTACAACCGCTCACTGAGCGCTCAATGAGCTTTTACATTTGATTGGTATATTCCTTTAGATTTAAAAATATATACCAATCAGATGTAAGAGCTCACTTAGCGCTCAGTGAGCGGTTGTAGTACTGAATGCACCCAATGTCGCATCTAGTTCTTATTATATTCTATGATAATGGATCGTTACGTTATTGGGAAGTTTGAAATGATATGCTGTAATTACGACTGATTTATTCGAAGTGTTTATTGTGTTTAATATTACGAATAACATATTGATAAGGAATTGTGTGGTATTGTTGTGGTACGGTTGAATAACAAGTGGAATTGAAAGAATCAAGTTTTTTAATATACGCTTTTGAAGAAACTCGTGTTCTGCAGTTTGTGTACTATTTTGTGTACATGTACAAGCAAGGGATTCTCTAGAAAAACAATAAATTTTTATATGTCTGTGCGAGTATGTATATGGATATTGAATTATTTACTTGTCATATTGCCTTTATGATAAAAAACAGTTTCTACATATTTGAATCTGTGAACTAAAACAATGAGATCTATAAGAATGTTTTTTTGTTTAGAATAATTTCAAAATGAATTATGTGAGAGACAGAGTGGATCATTTTGATTATCAGAAAATGCCACAATCTGAAGGCAAAGGTTAGTCCATAAAATAGTCCATAAAATGTCAATTCTTTATTTATATTCTCATATTTATATACTCGTATGATAATTGTATATTTTGATTAATCATTGTAATTTATTGCTAAAATTATTCTAAATTGATCTATTCTTTACATGATAATCATTAACTTTTTCCTTAAGAATACAATGTGACTAAATATATTAATCGTGTAATTATCTGTGATTTGATAATTTTTTCTAGTACGAGAGATATCTAAGCCTGTAAAAATTGCACAACTATTTGGACCTCCTAAACAGTTACAAAGTTGCAAAAAAGGTAATATATATTTATAAATATTTTATATATTTTTTTGATATTATATATGTATACCATGTTGTTAACTTTTTTTTATTGATATATTTTATATTTTTACAGATTCAGCTGTTAAAATAAGTCAACCTGAAAGGATTACACCTTATATGAGAAATACATCAACTCAAAAGAAAAATACATCAACTCAAAAGAAAAATGGTATGTATAATCTATCTTTATTTTATCTACCGATGAATGGATATACCCAATGTTTGCTGTGACTTGTTTGTTATCAATTTTATTAAATTTTCATTAAATTTTTATTATCTCATTTTACAGGGGCAAGTACAATTAACAGACTTCATCACAGTGAGAGAAATGTACGACGAAATTTAAAATTTACAGAAACACCACCTACTATGAAGAAAACTAAACAGACTGTAAGGACAAGCACAAATAATTTGCACAATAAACCCACTATGAGTGCAAAAAGCTTACAAACGCAAAATAGGAAAAGCTTTATACTGCCGCCAAATAGCATAAAGAATGTACATGTTGCACAAAACAGATTCAAACACAGTAAATCTATGTTCCCACATATAAATCAAACACGTATCTTAACAGAAAAATCAGTAACAAAATATCCTAGAATATCCGAGGGTTCAGAGAATTGCTCGCCATTTGTAGAAGATACGGATGCACCAGTAAACAATTCTGTTGCCCATGAGAAAAATAATAAAACATCAGTTATACAGCACACATCGTCACAGACGTTTAAAACTAAAAATTTGTCAGGTATCAGTAATTTACACTCTTTCAGCTCTAATTCAACAAATGCAAATGATAATGCAACAGAAAATAAAACTTCTACAAGCTCAACTATTAACAAAGCCTTAAATGTTAACATCTGCAGCAATCAAAATAGTTGTAGTTGTAATGTTACAGACGACAAATCACAAGTGCTTTCTATGTATAACACAGACACGAGAAACAATGCCAAATTGTACAGTGATGGCTATCTCAACTTAGAAACAAATGCTGTATACACACCTGGTGTAGAAAAGATCAAAATCGAAGATATGTATGTACCTTTACAAGCTGTTAAAAAGATAAGTGAGTCCTATGTAGATTTACAGCGTGATATCGACGGCTGTGAATACGTGACCCTCAGTAAGAAGGAACTTGTAGCTTTGACATTCAATTTGAAACATCTTATCTGCAAGCTGGAGGAGAATATTTCCTACTTGAAGTTGACATCATCTAACATTGTGAACTTGTTATCTGCGAATGCCACGAGTAAAGTAACCGAGGAAAATAAGGTCGAGAGTAAGAAGCAAATGCTCGACAGTCTAGATGACAACACAAAAGTAGTCAATAATACAAGCACAGTATCATTGCCGTGTATGACGATTAACGTCTGCAGTGAAGTTGATCACAGGTCAGAAGGTACTTCCAAAATACTCGACTCTGACGCATTGGTATGTGGGGAAACTGATGTGCCTAAGACTACAGAAGATGCTCACGTCAAAACACAGCTGCCGCAGCAAATCAATGTTGTTCTTGAGGACAATAAAGAGAACAAAGAGGACACAAACTCGTCTGTGAAGCACTCTAAGCCTCAACAAGATGGAACAAGGCGACGTTCCGCACGATTGTTGGCAAAGGCTTTGAAGAATTCGAACGTGGATAACGATAGTTTCGTGAATCTGGAGCATGAATTGAATATCTCAAGCAAACCGTCCGTCACGCTGATTATGCCACATATTGACCGTACCCCGGTGATGACTGGATGCAAGGACAAGAAGACGGAAAGACCCTGGAAAGAATATATGGCTTTGAAATCACGTATGAGTTGCTTGCTGACGCCTAATATCAAGCGATTTAATTCTGTGGAATCCAAGGACAATATGCACCCTGAAACTGGTGGCATTAGAACTTCTTTATCGAGCAAAATATTCGCGGATCTTCACAACTTGTACGCCGATTCGCCAGATCCGCAGTAACTTTACGTGTCATCTATTATTAATGTTTTTATAAAACAACATAATTCGTATATAATAAGTTAATATATGTTTATTATTATAATATATAAATAAATTTTATGTGTATATAATAAGCCTTATGCATAGAAAACGGACTATGATGTTAGCCGGCAGCATTTTTTAATATATTCAATTGGTTCGCCAATATGATATTACGTGCATATAAAATTTTGAATATCATATTTATGCGAACACAGATGTCGTTGAGAGATGAAGATTGAAAAAAATATGAAGAAAATTATATCGAATAAATTTTATATACTTTTGATTGAATAAAGAAAATATGAATGGAGAATACGTAATTACACGTATAGGTTTTTGAGGGCGTTTGGGAGTTTGTCGGAGTGTTACTTTATCAATGAGCTACGCACAAGATGATAGACGAGTTCACCACTGGCGGGCGTTGCGATCGTGCCTGAGCAATTTTTCCTGCCTCTTTCCGGATGTCTCGTAATAAGAGCATAATGACACTCGATTCGTGTTTTTACACTCGTGCCAAATTGTCGTCGTCGTTCGCCCTCGTCGTCGATTGTTGATTATGTCGTGTGCTCGCGACGGTGCGAGATATAATGCGCGAAAGTGTCACTGATTGAGCGAAGAAAAAAGTATGGCACGTCCCAAGCACAGAGTGAGCGCAGACGTGTGCGCTGACTGCGGGGCACTCGGTGAGCGCATCATTTTTGTTTATAATTACAGACCTGTCCTACATCTACAGCGAATTTGCTCTTATTTGTACGATATATTTGCTATATTTATACGATAAAATATACGATAACCCCTATCGACTCGTCGAGCGCTCTGTCAAACGCGCTGTTTGGTATCACTTTGATTTGCAGCAATTGCTCCAGTAACAAAATATTAGATGTACATTTAAATTTGTTTGAATTTGTTTATGTAATGGAATTTTGCTGAACAGTGCTCGCACAATTAAAAGAATACTACAGGATCGGTCTGCTGTTTCAGAGCCAGGATGGGCATCAATAAATAGAGCTATTTTGTTATGTGATGATTGTTGTGGGATTCATCGAAGCTTAGGACGTCATGTGTCGCATATTAAGTCATTGCACAAGAGTATTTGGAATACACAGCTATTGAATGTTAGTATATATTGCGTGAAGTGTAAAGAAAAATTTCCTTAGCATTTATTTAATATATGCATCGTGTCACTCATGAAATTATATAAATATTTCAGATGGTGCATACCTTGAATGATAATGGAGCTAACAGTATTTGGGAACATTCCCTGCTAGATCCTAGTAACTCAAAGATTAGTAGAAGAAAACCACAGGCCAAGGATCCATTACAGTTAATAAATTTGATCATATATAATTCTCTTCTCCTATTCTGTAAAATGGGGCATCTCACTTGCAATATTTTGATTCTATTACAGTTGTTACAATTCTGTTAACTTTTTTGGATGTTGGATTTATATTTTTTTTATATTCCTAAATATTAGATGCCTTTGTAATTATTAACTTTTGTAATTATGTATATTTTCTTGATATTAAAGCAAGTTCTTTACTTGCTACATTGCTTACAGTCCTGTAAAAGCAGAATTTATTAAAGCCAAACATCAACACTTGGCCTTTATATTACGGCCAAGTAAGGAGGAATGTTGTACTGAAGAAGAGTTAAGTAGACAGTTGCACAGTAGCGTTCGTACAAGCAATTTAGAGACTTCATTGAGGCTATTGGCACAAGGAGCCAATCCCAATTACTTTTATAAGGTACTGCTTTAGCGTAAATATATTTTGTAAGATATATTGTGCTCCTGCAGATTATCATGCATAATAAAATTATGTTGTCATGTAAACATTTTTATAAATTAAATATAATTTCTTTATTCAGGAGAAAGGAACTTCTCCTTTGCACGTTGCAGCACGTGCTGGACAAGTTCTTCAAGTAGAACTTTTAATAGCTAATGGTGCAAATCCAAGTGTAGTAGATTTAAATGGACAAACAGCTGCTGATATTGCCAAGTGAGTAATGTACATTTTTAATATATTTTTATATAGCTGAAAAATATCTCTGTCGATTTCTTTGATTGATTTTTTGTTTTATTATTATTTTAGGATGGCAGGACATATAGATTTGTCTGAACGCATAATTGAATGTATGTATGAAGTAACAGATAGATTGACATACCACGTGTGCTCTCGTAAGCCGAATCATCGAGGTGACGAACATCTCATCATTTCTGATTTAGCTTCTAATCTGGACAAGAATGAATTAGCTTTAGAAAGAAGAAACAGACTACAAATGGTTTGTAAAAGTTCACTTTATTCAGGATTTACTAAGTCTATCTGTTGCTGTATATTTTTAATTCACTTAGTTTCTTGTTTAGTTACCCAATCACTTATTGGAGGAATTAGCAATGGATGTTTATGATGAAGTAGACCGCCGAGAAACAGAAACAAGTGAGTATGTCTTTAATCATACTGAGCATTTTTATGCTTCATATTCAATACAAAATCTACTAGTTTAAATTACTAATAACACATCATATATATTTTTCTTGTGCTATTCCTATGGAAGGGTGAGTAAAGATTGTTTAAATTTAACAACATAATTTTAATTTAGTCATTTAAATACTGTGGACATATCTTATTCACTTAGATTTGGACTCAAACCACCAATGCTTTTAAGGACTGTCATCTGTGCATTCACTTTCTCTGCTTGTTAGAAATAGTTTCAGTTGTGGACTTTATTATTTTAAATATAAAACACTATTTCTGTTATTATATAACCGGCGACAGACGAAACGTTCGAAAATCTTGTTGAATTTCGACCACATAGAGCGCTTCTTCATCGCGTTATTTCGCACTCGAAGGAATTGAAATTGATTTTAATAGAAATGTCCATCGAAGTATGCGCTGAAAACACGCAGATAGACAAATAGAGATTAATGTTTCATATTTTCTGCAGTTTGGTTTTCGACTGCATCCCTCCCGGAAAAGTGTACCGTTCCATTCCTACCGGTTAATCCGCAGCTGTCGTCCACCAGGAATCAAGGAAGACAAAAATTGGCAAGATTTACGCCCAAAGAGTTTACCACTCTCATCGTCGATTTATTGGTAGAGGCCGGCCGAAGACACATGCTTTCCAACAATACACTACAGAGTAATACTATAAAAGCGCATTCTTTGTGTTATTACACCGTTCAACATTTTCTTATATTAAGACGTCCGTCGCTCTTTAGATCCTGCGGTGTCTATACTTCGGAAGGAGCAACTGGGCAAACATGGGTCACAGGTCTCCGATGACGAGCCTCTGTATGACAGTGTTGCGTCTGACGATGACTACGCTTTAACATCTACGGACAATACTTCATCGGACGCTTCGAATCAACCCAAAGCTGACAATGAGGTAGGAACGTACTGCAATAAACTTGAATTTAGTTTCGAGATAATTGAAGACTTTGTCCCTTGAACACCAAACTTTAACAAAATCTTCTGCGATTCTGCATCTTTTTGAGTAAATAGTTTTAATACAATAGTTTAGTCGGTATTAAACATTCCCGTATAAGTTGGAATATACGTGAGTATACCAGTTTTACAAATCGCTTGTCTTGTACGTGTGTATATTACGCACGGCAATATACATATGAAACATTAAAATATAACTTATGTAAGTTATATTTCTCTTTAAATTGCAATTTGTGATAAAAATAGAAGAAAAAAAAGATCATATTGACATGTTTTATCGCTGTCTGATAAAATATTGAAGGTACCGGCGCTAGTAACAAAAAGAGGAATAAGGAATTGGCTGAGCACGTGGCTTTTCTGTAGGCAGTGTTATTAGGCAAGTGCACAGGTCTGTTTGTGCATGTGCAACCATTGCCAAGAGCGCCAAATTTGACCATTCTGAAGCATTAATTAGCTATTGGGCGTTGATTCGCATAATTATTCTTGCAATCCATACACCACTAAACGAATTTATGCGTTCATAACAATAATAATAATAATAATAATAATAATGATAATAATAATAATAATAATATAATAATAATATAATAATAATAATGCGTACAGCATTTTATAACCATTTATTTTGCGTGATCATTATAACATGCTCTATGCTCCTTACTTGATACGAGTTTAGAGCAAATGTTACGATTGCGGCTTGTTGTTTCAGGAAACATTTGCACCGATGGCCAAGGGTCTTCCGTCCATGGTAGAAGTCTTGAAGAAACAACTGACCCTGTCTGAATCAACCGTACGAGATCTGCGTGAGCAAGTACATACCTTACAGACTACTGTCGAGCAGCTCACTCAAGAGAACAGCGAATTGAAACATATGCTACAAGTAACTATATCAGATTTTATTTGATACGTGATAAGCTAAGACACTAATTGTTTCAAATATTTAAGAAGAAATTGATAATTAGATATGTAAAAAGAGAGTTGCGCGTTTCTTTGATTTTAATATATGTTTTAAAGAATAATATTCTTTGTAACTTTTTCTTTGCAACTATATAGGAGTCGTATGTAGTTTCTCAGGTATATTATCTTATTCTTATATTATATTATTCTTTATTATGCTGAGTTTTTGTCATTACAAACGTCATTCGTGTTGCTCTTCGTTGTTTACATTTCTTGTATTCATATGAGCTAGTTTCTGTGAAAATATTCTTTAATCTTTCGTCTTACTAAATTAGTAAAATAAAACTAATTAAAGTTTATTGTACGCTAAAATAACAGATTCTTGAGAGGCCAGCAAAGATAAAAATAATTATCTATTATATATTAAAGTAATAATTCTTTTCAAAATCTATTAGTTTAGTATATAACAGATTCATTAGTTTATAGTAAAGTGTTAGTTTATAGCGAAAAATTCAAATATTTTCGATAGATCGTTCTTGAGTTGAAATGTGTTTGAATGGATCGGCATTGATGAATAAAAATGTAAATAAAAGAGAATAGCACACGATATGTTTGGAGTGACAGTACGAAGAATAGCTCATTTCCAATCAATATGATCAATATAAAATATAATCAATGTAAAATTGCAAAACACTTTCAAGTGATACACACAGAAGGTGAGGTACCTAAAACAGACTGCCTGAATAACTTTGAAAATATGCAAGATAGAAAAGAATGTCAAATACAAAAGTTGTAGGGTTTCAAGTAACGCATCACATACTAATATGATCTTGAACAGCATCATTAAGGTTACGGGAAGGTCACCTTTTAAATGATAAATTTCATTTTTTATTATATCATCTTTTTCTACTAATTATTTTGAACAACTTTTGTCTGAAACATTTTTTCATCCGACTACTTTCTGCGATCGTTGCTTTCTGTTATCGCTGAATCGGGGAGCACAATTAAAATGGGACATCATATATATATTAGAAACTACATACGATCCCCACATAGCTGCAAAATATAAAGATTACTGAGAACTACGTCCTTTATAATATATATTAAAATCAAAGAAGTTCCCAGGATGTGTAATCTTTCTTACATAATTACCGAAAATTTATATATGATAGTGAGATGTTAACCCGGCGATATTAACCCAGGCAAAGAATTCCGGCGATGGCACTATCAATGGACATGTTGGCGGCGAACAAGAACCGGAACTGGAGCCAGTGCACGACATCAAGACGTCTACTATTCGAGGAAATCAACGACCAGCGTCGATGTACGAGACTAGAGAAGGTTTACGAAAACCAGCGTCCTGGTCGACTCCCATTTGCCAAGTAAATTTCTTTCTTTACAGCAACTTGGAACGAGAGAGAATATCGTGTACGCTGTATCGCATCTCTGTATCGTTTTCTAGACGAAACGCGATGCGGAAACGTTATCGCGGAATAACACGCAGAGCCTGTGGGAATGCGGCGCTCCTAATCTTCCACCCAGCGAAGAGGTGACCAGACGAACGGAACAAGTTACCAGGCGAATTCAAGAACTGTGGTTGGCCATGCAAGACCCGAGCCAACGAGAAGCTTTCGTCCCTTGCGCGGAGAGAATACGTGTCGCCGTTGCCGAGTTAACCGCTATATTTCCTCAGGTACAATTAGTTATCTTGCTCGCCGCGTTTCTAACGCAGAAGGAGGAGCTGGATTTGATCAAATTGCGAAGAAGATCTTCATTTCAACCGTATTCTCGTAGAATCCTATAGAGGAGAATATCAGATCTGCCTTGCGGCAATTGAACGGCAACACCGGGAGGCTTCAAGCAGAATGTTCTGGCCTACAAAGATGCACGAGTGACGCCGAGCATATGGATCGTTGTCTGCAGCAAGTACGTTCATGCGCTTACGATATTGCCAAAGCAACCAAGACTCTTGTCACGCAATTTCAAACATTGTAGATCGCAGGTTTTGACGTTGTAGAGACAGTATCGGATATGTATGCGCAATTTTCCTGTATATTTTCAACGACGATTGTAAATACTTTTATATAGCCTACCGAAAAAGTTTACTAAGACTATTCTCTTCTCAAATCTTCACTACGCGTATTATTGCTTCACATGTATTCATTTCACGATCGGTAGTTGCCTCGTTTGTTTCTGTTTTCTTTTTTCATTTCGTTAAATTTCATGTAAATACGAAGTATATAGGACCTTTTTATATCTGGTAAGATTATTACTTTAATAGTTTACAAGACACTAGATTGCTAAAATTATATACTTTACATTATTTAATTACGTTTGAATGCACGATTTAACACACGAGACATGACACTGTTTGAATATAGATTTTACATTATGTATCATTTCTTTAATGTTTGTAAAAGACTGAATAGCGGCAAACCAATGAACTCTACACGTATACAGTTTAAGTTTATAGTTTTCATTTAACTTGTCCAAAACAAAATTTTGCGCGATGGAAATGAAAGACGGATTAGAGCGTTATTGTTTTATATACTAGAATAGAGAGCATGCCTTTTATGCGACAATGTAATGTTAAAAACTTTTATTACTTTTACTTCATTTCTTATAGATATTCTATATAAAAAATAGGAATAGAGACAGAAAGATAAAACAATCTGACTCTAATTGATGTAGCTGTCTTTCTAAAATATCGCTTTTATCGTATTACACATATATAGTAAGAATATAAGAGACAAAGATGCTTATCATCTTCCATCCATATTGTATGTGTATTCATAAAGAAGTTCAACAATTATATATTATACTAGCAACTTTTAATCTAAAACGACTGATGTGGAACGTTTCAAAAAGTTTTTGATGACTTTTTTTTAATACACTTCTAATTTGCTTGTTGAATAGTCCAATCATGCTAAAGAAAGTTCGAATGAGATTTTTTAATAATTCTTTTATATTTGATCATTAGTTTGCATAATAGAAAACAATGAATATTTAAGAGATGGTACAGATTTATTATCTGTATCATTTTGTTGTATTATTTTCTAGCTTTTTATATTATTATTTGAAAGCTATATATGATTTTGATTCATATTCATATTCCCTATATTTTATAATTTCTTTCTCGACATTCTTGTCGATTACATCACTATTGGGAATAGTATGTGCAATATTGTTAGTAAATTATTGCTTATTTCAAATAAACACAAAAACAGTCACACTCATTAAACAAGCACCATTGGTACGATACTTATTTAATTAAATTTGTGCAATGAATTGTATAATTATGAGTGGGATAATGTGACAATATATATCTCTATATATATTCTCATTATTAAAAATATATTTTAGAAATATTGTAACAGTAATATATATGTATATGGCAGCCATATAATTTAAACAAAAAGATATGTGTATTCTTGTCGTAAAAATATAATATTAATTATAGAATAGCAGTAACACACACATATATTTGTAACATTTCGCACATAGGATTCACATCTGATATTCATAGGAGATTTCTCTTTCTGATACATTTCTTACACTTGGCCAGTTATATATGTTAATATGTGACATGATTAAGATTTATCCACAGGGTGTCTCAGAACTTTGGCACACGGGCTCCGTAGAGACATAGAGCTAAGCGCGGCGTCAAAGCGCCAAGATGCCATCGCGACAATCAGCGCAAGACGCGTTATCGCTCAGCTCCTACACACACAGCTTGCCGCGGAGTATCTATAGGCCGCGCTGGGTGTGGAAAACGCCAAACTTTACGCGGTTATTACTAAAAAACTATTATGATTTTCACATTATGGTAGAGGACTTTTTTGTTCTTCTCATTTAGCTCTATGTCCCTACGGAGCCTGTGTCCCAAAGTTCTGAGACACCCTGTATATGACTAGCATGCCGTATATATTTTTAAGTTAAATGCAGCTCAATTGTTAACGTTATAAATCTCATGATTGTATCTTATGATTGTATATCAACTGCATTTTCAAAGGATAATGTTGACCTTATTTTGAAATTTATAATCGAGGCGTATGTATTAGAAAGTTTACAGAGAAATCAAATACATTTTATTACTACGAGAATTGCGATTGCGTTCGTACGATTTATAACGTTAGCGTGTGTTAATTATATATCAATATATATTTACTAATAAAAATAACCAAATATAATCTGTAAAACCACGTGCGTAATGCAATTATTTTCAAATATAGCGTCGCATTCAAATTTATTACATTGTTTTCTGAGGACCGTTTTTACCAGAGAGAAGTTTAAGAGAAGCGGTCATCCCGGCGTTTTAGCTGACACCGATTTTCAGGACTGTTTGATATGTCATCTACGACTATTTTTGAGCTGAAGTTACGTTTGTAGACTCCTTTTCAAGTGCTTCTGGTAAAGTCTCCAGTTGACGCATTTCGTGCTACGTCCATTTTCTGATGATTCACATCCGTGCTGCACTCTTAATTGTGTGTCGACAAATATGACATCATGCACGGATCTATATTAGGTTTAATGACAGGTTGATTGAATACGAATAAAAAAATTCATATCCTTTATTTTGGTCGAGATTAGAGCATATTTCAAGTTTATTAAAATCAAAGGGGGCACTTCCATGTGTTTCCTTATAAATATAGCATCGATAATTATATAGAGTTTCCAAATTTGTCCAACATATAATCAGATTAGGTTTCACATTATACACTGCTCAAAAGAATTATGGCATAAATAATTTATTGCCGAAAATTGGCCAACTTTGACTGGCGATTACTTCGCGAAAAATTATTGTAGACTAATGATTTTTTTTTTCAAAATGAAGCTTGAAGTCTCTACTTTAAGAATATATCTCCATTTTTAGCATGCGATATATCCCTGCCCTTGTAACCCCTGACATCTGTTTGGTATACTGAAAATTGCAAAGTTTGACGGAATGCGCGGACGTGGATAATTTTTTTTTTTCAGGGACGCCGTTTGCATTGTCATAAAGTTCAAATCTTCCTCTTCAATTTGAAAAAAAATGGAGTTGCTACAACTTTTTTTCGCAAAGTTACAGTCCTTCAAAAATATCGTTTTTGGCCTTCGGGCCAAGTGTGCACGCATGTGTGTGTGTGTTCGTGACAGAAGAGATAAGGACTCCGTGGTTCGTCACTTCCATAGTAATTATTGACTGTCGTTGCTCTGCTTAATGACACATTGGAAGGAGACATGAAAGAAATATCATCAAAATATATGGATTCGATTCATAGTTTTCTGTGAATATTATAAGCATATTCGAGGATTTAAATTTCTTGAGATGACTATATTGTTCAGTATCAAGTGTTCAGTACACCAAGTACAATAACTTATATGTTATTACCTTCTAAAGTCCTTCGTATGTAATCAATCTAGCGTTAAGATATTTTTCAAAACATAACTTATTATTGCATGGTTCGTGTTTATATTTTTTGTTTAACAAATGGACCCCTATATTAGAAACAGTATTTGTGCTGCATACGGTAGTAGAGCACTAGGAGTGAAAGTATCAAATACAGAATATATATCCACTTAGGTAAGAGACATTGAATTTCTTATATCTGTTGTATTATTCTTCTTACATTAACATCAACATTAAGTAATAATATTATGTAATAATGATCTCATACTAAAACTTATCATTAACTAATATTTCGTTCTGCTAACAAATAAATTCCCCATATAGGTACATATGTCTTTGCGAAATAGTTACATGACATTTCTAATACTATTATTAAGCGGTATTTCGTTGTGTGTCGCTACAGCCGAAACCTTTGATACCGATAATGACCAATGTTCAAACATAGACCCGCAACATTGCACGGATAATTCACTTTATAATGATGTACTACTTTATACCTCACTGCCAACTAGATATGACATCAATTTAAGAATATTATATCCGCATTTTAATAGAGTTTACGGTATAACTAATATTATGATCAATGTTAAACATTCAAGAAGTACAGACATAAATTTGCACGCTTATGGATTGCGTATCGACAAAACTCAAATAACTCTAAAGGTTATAAATGCGTACTTATATCAAAACTATATATTCATTGGTTACTGTTATTGCAAACAATCGCAAATTTTGAATTTGCGGTTTGATAAAAGTATAGTTACCGGAGATTATAATTTAACAATTTACTTCGACGTTGCTTATTCTTCTTGGAAAGGTATAGTTAAATACGAGAACAACAAAGGTGCAACAAATCATGAGAGAACAAGGTAAGAATTTGCGTAAATCATTAAATATACTGCTAACTGTAGAATGTAAACATTCTTTTCTATTGATTCAAATGTCATGTTGGTTACATCACGTTGGTTTATGGTAGTTATCATGAGGAAAAATCAAAAGTAAAATTAATTAATTCAATACATTTTTTGTAAAATATTTATCGACAAAATATCTATCAATAATTCTTACGTCAATATGTAGGTCAATTAAACATGATCGTAATTGCGAAAACAAGCATTTACATAATTTGCATTTGATTACCAGTCTTCTTTTTCTGTATTGACGTATATATAAATTAAATTTAGTACAATTTTGTGTGACCATACGCAGACAATATTCGTACATTGAGTTATATACAGGATATTACATAAATCGCTACGGATTCATAACATGGAAACATAGAGCGGATTAAGACAAACGTAAAAGCCCCATACTGTTTTGCAATATTTGTGATAATTCTCGAATTATTAATTATAAAAGTCTAATAAGTCATCATGCGAGATAATATTGGAGGAATTGTTCGGGCTTAACGCGGCCCAGTCGATCCAGCCAGCGGGCGTACGGCAAGATAAAGCGCATTCACACCTGGGCAGAAAAGCAGAAAGCAGAACAACAGAAGCCAAAAGAGTGACAAATAGAAAAAACTATCGCATGACAAATAGAAAAAACTATAAGAGAGAGACAGACTGTCAGCGCCATTTGTAATTGGATGCTGCTTTTCTGCTTTCTGCTTTTCTGCCCAGGTGTGAATGCGCCCTTAGACTCGAACAGCGACATGTTGTCCTTCCCCTCACTGCATGTCTACAACAGTTGCTGGATCGACTGGACCACGGAATAAGTAGTTGTATTTTTCTCTAATCATCCATCTCGGCTCGTGCACACTCGTCAGATTTCTATAATTAATAATTCGATAATTATTGCGAAAATCGCGAAGTTTTGAGATATACTGCATAATTCATGTACAGTATGTTTGGTAACTCCGGTAGCCATAGCTAATAGAGGCATAGAGGCATAGAGATTGAGATAAAGAAACGAGTCAAATACCATTTTGCAAAAATCATAAAAATGGTTTATGCAAAAATGTTATGGAAAAAATTGAATGAATTAACCTGCGTCGCAACGATAATGTGTGGCGCGTTTGGTCGCTCGAGCTTGTAATGGACTTTGCCCAGCAATAACTCGTCGCACAAGTAAGGGAAGAAAAAATCGCACGCCGACAACTACCCAGTCAGAACCGCAACATTGATTCGACGATAAGTGTTGAATTAATATTGATTCAATGTTTCATCAACCATTTCAACGTCGAATCAACGCCGAATCAACGTTACGATCTTGACCGGATATTGCTGGACGAAGTGGGCTGCGCTACAAGTTCGAGCCCTAGCGAGAAATGACTTGTCGATCGATGTTTGAAAGATTCAAGTCGATATCAATTCGACATCATTTCGTCGTCGATCGACGAATTAATTCTCACAGGAAGCGGCTGAGCGCGCTACCCGCTGGCACCGCGATGCACTTTAATACATCCCATTTTTTCCATGCATAATGTCTATATATATATATAAAATTCTTTTCACCGCATTCTCGCGGCGCATTACAGAACGGTTAAAAATTTTATATTTACAATAATATGCTCTTACAATAGGTTAATCGTCACGCAACCTAACGTGGCTCGGAGAATATTTCCATGCTGGGACAAGTCTGAATTAAAGGCGATTTTCAACATATCTGTTATACATTTCGACAAATTTAGAATCTTCTCGAATATGCCCGCAATATTCACAGAGAATCATGATTCAAAAGTACGCTGCACATATTTTAATGATACGCCTTTGATCTCTGCCCCCAACGTGTTCATTGCTCTGCTCGAAGAAGTTGGATTTAAAACTAATAAAGTATTAGAGACTGATTTGATTTGGCATATGTCAAAAAAGGAGATGCTACAACATGCAATCGATACAATCGTATTTGTCAATTGCAACTTGATACCCATTACGAATTTAATAAATGTATCATCGAGGATAGACCACATAGTGTTCCCAAATAATACAATAAACTCAATGGGATGTTCCAGCGTTATAATATATAGGTACATTTAAATACGCACAATTAAAATGCTGTAGCATGTAGCCCAGTAAACATAATGTAACATGTAACATACCTGTTAACTGTAATAACGATGTAACTGTTATATAACGCACGTGTTATATAAGTTGTATTGTTAAGTAGGAAATTACAACTAACAGGTATATTACATATAATATTGTGTTTGCTACGAAATTTGGAAGAAACCTGGATACTACTATCAATTTGGCGATATCACAGTGACGCCGACGATATCATAGCTAAAAGCAAAAAGTCCACTTTGATTATCCTAGAACAGTGCACGGAAATTTCTTCTCAGGCTGTGCATCTATTAAGTATATGCGAGTAATGCTGACATTACATCAATATTTTAATTTATTTATTTTATTTTCCCGCCCAATAATGTAACTGCGCTTCAACGTACAGTGTACATAACTGTTATAATATATTGTGAGGTGGAAAACGATAAAATTGATGTCATGTTATTATTATTCTGCGCTTAACGAGTTTCGTAGTTAGCACTTTAAAATTAACTTTATACGTTTATGTGGTTTATAGAGTAGTTAAATTATTATATTTGCGCACTCTCATGTCTACATTTACTGGCTACATTAATTCACAATTTATAGTGAGAAGGATGTTCTATATGATAAAAATTCCGATTTCCCTGGCCGCAAGGTTTACATCAGCGAGGTAATTTCGTATCAAAGAGCACGTCAGCCGTTTACAGCAATGATTATTAAGTCTCAGTGGTCTGATATGTGGTTAGAATTAGGCGAATCGCTATCGAAACTTTACAGTCAATATATCATGGAGGTTAATATATATCTGTCTTTTACTAGAGAGCATTACTAGAGAGCAAGATACTTTTGAATTTAATTAAAATATGATCGGTGTCGAAAACATTTTTAAATTCTTCTAATCGCTTTTCAATCGTATATAAAATAGATTAAATATGGAATACTGCTATGTTATGTAGAAGTAATTAATAACATGACAAAAAGTTTGATTTCATATGCAAGACGAATGTAAGTGTTATCTTAAGATACCATGTACAAAAATAATTACTGAGAAATGTATAATTTATGATTCAGTCATATAACATTTCCTTGAAACCTCTTAACTGTCACACGAGCTACTGTCTTACACAGTAATGATTCTGAACGAACATTTTAAGAACATTTTGCATTTATGTTACATAACTGCAATTTTATATGAGTCGAAAATTATATTAAACATGCATAGTAACATATATATTTATTAATATGTAACTTACATCTGTGTAACTTGCTTGCAAGTTGCTTGTTATATTATATAATATGCTATATTTCCTTATATGTATTACCGTAATGTAGCCATTATATATTTATGTTTGCTGGAATATGAAATACATTTGTGTAATGTTAATTTGCGCATCAACTTACATTTCAGTTATATCAGAATAATTTATTCTAGATTTTCGGTGGTTCACAATTAGTGGACCTCTATGTAATTCAAATTATTCAGTCAACACTTCATTATGAAACTATCTGCCGGATGGAAGCTTTTTCCAAATACAATATACAAGTTGCGGATGAGATTGATGCTGTCCTCTGTTCTCGTTGGTATTATAATAAAGGTAAATATTCAATTGGAAATTAAAAAAAAAATATTCATATATCTTTGAACGGAAATATCATATAAATTATGAGACTTGGTCCTTATTCTGTTTGAAATAAATGAACTTATTAAACTTCGTCGGTGTGTTTCGTTGTAGGTTTTGCTATTTTACGCATGATAGAGCGTATAGTCACACGGAATAAATTTCAATTAGCTGTCATAAAATATTTGAACGCATTGTAAGTAGTATATTGTAGCACCATTATATACTTCACTTTTAGGTATTTCTTCTAAAGATAACTATATGTACGACAGAATTGACACTATTCCAAATTTATATCTTTACGTATTTATTAATTTATCGGGCTTAAGAAGATTATTAGTTATAACGTAGAATTTCGGTATATTTATGCATTTACGTTGAAAAGCTTAACAGAACACGTGGTTAAGTAGAAATGTGTTTAGTATTTCTATTGTAAAATTCACACATTATTAACGACATAAAACACGCACACGTAAGCATACGCGCACACGCGTACACGCACGCAATGTTAAATATTTCTTTTTAGGTATAGTCAGCCCCGTTTAGTCACTCTTTACGAATTCTGGAAGATTTTACAATATATGCTTGATGACAGCGATAGACAAAAGTTTATCATAGGGAGAATTATGGATACGTGGTTAACGCAAAACAGCTATCCTATTATGCAAGTCTTTCACGATCGTGAAAATAATACAGTGAGATTAGATATCACTGGTAGCGTCGACATGAGAGAATCCACATGGATGATACCAATAACTTACATTTCATATAACTCTTCGTTTTACGTGATCAGTGATACTTGGATAACTAGGTTTGAAAGTGAAGATATTAAACTGGAGAAGGAGAATATCGATTTTGTTATATTTAATATAGAACAAACTGGTGAGTATATATATCGGTATATATATATGATATATACCGTGATAAGTCCGTGACGTTATCCGTGATTTTAGAATGTAAAACAACTTTGACATAATACGTTTGTTTTATTTTATATGTAACATTTTTCGGTAAATATATATGTACAAATTAGTAAAAACAGAAACAATATAATGATTATTTAATTTACAGGATATTTTCGCGTGAATTATGATGTTAAAAGTTGGAATAAAATCGCAACATTCTTAAACACTGATGATTATAATAAAATAAATGTCCTCAATCGCGCGCAATTGATCGATGATGCGTATTATTTTATGACACAAGGCTATGTATCGCCGTTCACATTTTGGGAAATTGCAAGTTACTTGGAGCGCGATGTAAGTTATATAGCCTGGTATCCGATGTTTAATATTCTATCGTTCATGTGGCCTGTTTGGAATTATCCGAAAGCGGAACATATCAACAAGGTAGGCAATACCGAATTTCGCTAAATAAGTTAATTAATGAGTTAATTAAGATATGCGTTTAATCCGATCACAAAGAAGCTTTATAACATTCAAGATGAATAATATTGACAAAAATAAAATATATATGTTTCCGATCATAAAAATAAAATATATTGTATTCTGATTATAAAAATATGTATGTAAAAATATGTATGTTTAAATATATGTCATACATGTATCCCTAGTTATACATGCATGTAAATATCAGTTTCCAATAAACAACGCGAGGTACTGAAATTAAATTATAACGTTGTCATATCGTATCAAACTGTTGTCATCTCAATATTAATGTGATATTAATATTCCTTAACGTGACCTAGGGAAACATACATCAAATGTTAGTCGGCTTACTGCAAAATTTGGGATACGAAGAGAAAGATTATGAGAATAATATGCAGAAGACATTGAGATTATTAGCAACAAGATGGGCTTGCAAGTTAGGGCATAGAAAGTGTCAAATGGTTGCTACGAGAAAATTGTCTAGGCATCTCTCCGATCCTGATAAAAAGTAAATCCCTTATTAAAAGTTGTACTAATCTTTTTAAACATGTTTCTTTACTATCTATTACGCCATATATTTGATCGCACATGATTCAAACTTAAACTTCGCTAATGATTGATATTTTTCACATACGTAGAATTAGGCCATGGTGGAAGGATTGGGTATATAGTGCCGGCATGATTTCGGCCAACGAAACTATATCGCAGATTCTGTTTGAAAAATACCAAAATACCACGGATATAAATAGTTTGAAATACTTGTTTTGCTCGGATGATGTACAAATTATTATAAAGTATATGGAGAAAATGAAATTTTTCGTTATTAACAATATACTCTCGTATAACGAGCTAATGGAACTTTATCGTGTTATTATAAAGAAGCACATAAGGAAGCATGACGTTCTAAAATACGTCGTAGGGAATTATTTGAGATTAGTAATCTGGTGATTGCTTCTCTTATAAGTACTTGAAGTGACCGATCACGAGAGCATAACTTTTATCAATGATTAATTTAATTATTTTCTTATTTCTAGGTGGCAAAACCGTTATTTAAACACAAAACTGTTGGGCGATATGATAATGAATGTATATTTAGATGACCATTTCGCTATAGTATGTATTTTCTGTTTGCGCCGCGTTTAATATTCTTAATTAATTCACATCTCATTTTCAAACACGTAATACATGTGATAATATATTTTTCGTTAAAGTTTAAAATTATGGATGAAAATGAATATGAACTCTCTTATGACTTATCAAAATAACTTATTCCAGATTATAAAATTTGCACAAAATAATGCCCAGAGATTAAAAGTAAACATGAATGACATATTTGAAATAGAACTAGCTCAAAGGCAAAGAATTAAAAAGATGCAAAATATAGCTTATCTACGTTGAATAAGATAAAGGAATATGTATAATTTCTGGGCGAGCTATTTTACAAAATGTGATAGAACTCAAATAACCAAAAATGGCCAAACTGAAGTTAATTGTGTTATTGGGAAGTGAATTGAGTTGTCTGTATTTAAATTGTGATATCTATTTTTTATCATTTTCATTGTATTTTCATTATATTTTATTATATATTATTCCTACGTTTTAATGTTTACATGTTTTTTATTTACATATATTTAGACGTACATTGTATATTACATAATGATAATATATATTACTATATAATTATGCATATAGTTATATAAATATCTACGTAATGTATGTACCTCATGATATGTTTAAATTTAACCATTACATTTCATTTATACATAAATATATAAAGACACACACACGCACGTATGCGTTACATACACACAAATATATGTATATAGAAAACAAAATATATATGTATGTATACATATATATATACTCAACAAATACAATGTAACATGTAACATACCTGTTAATTGTAACTTCCTACCCTATATATAACTCTACAATATAACTGTACATTATTATATCGTCTTATATTATTGTTACAGCTTATATAACAATTATATTGTTGAGTAGGAAATGACAACTAACGGGTATGTTACATGTTGCATTGTGTTTGCTGGATATATATATATTCGCTCATCTGTTAAACGTACACATTTTTTTTCCTGTACACATTTTTTTTCAAACAAGTCGCAATAGTCTAGATCATAATTGAGTGACGCTGATGACATGTTCTCATGATTAATAATTTTAACAGAAAGCGAGATGATATTGTAACATGATAACATGATATGATATTTGAAGGATAAGATTATAATAAAGATACTTTTTTTTTTTAACCCTTCATTGCAGTTTAGTTGTCGGATGGCATATATATTTACATTTCGTCTTATATCTAAATTGATTACCGCGCAAACGTATCAGCGATGTTTCTCATTTATGACGACACGATTCGCTGTAATTTCGTTAGAAAAAATACATGCAAATCGTTGTGAGGCTGGATATTCTTACATTATATCACAATATTTATTATCTTATAAAGATGTTTATGCTATATAGTTATGAATAATACATGTATTGTATATCTTTTGTTACTACAATACAATACAATACAATACATTGTACGTATAATATTTTTAATTATTAACATCGTCCAGCAGATTATATTGCGCCATAAATTATTAGAAATATTATATCAGAAAAATTTTATTATATTTGATACACTTCTTATAATTATTATACTATATAATATAGTGTGCGTACATAGTTGTAAACAATATTTATGTATTATACTGCAATTCGTGCATTTCTGTATGTATATTATATAGTTTACTCATTACTGTCATTATACCGTAAATATGAAGTTATCTTTTCTTTGTGATGTAAATATAATAATAATTCTTTCAAGACTAACTCATCTCACTATTCTGGATGTGATTGTCAACTTAACTCCGGTTTTATTGTTCAGTTAATTTGCCGCGGACGACAGTTCCTTCCGAGGTAGAAATACAAAATTTTAAGACGTAGATGGAGCGTGAAATACTTTATTACATTGCTGAAAGGCATACGTTTAGTCAGCAGCCGACATGAGCACAATTGATTTTTGAGATTATGCAAATGAGTCACATAGTATTATGTGAATATAAATAATGTCCTTTCAAAACTATAATATGGCTGCAGAAAGTCTTTAAATTCAAAATATAATTTAAAACCAAATAAATATGTAAAGGTACTGAATTAATTTACACACTTACTAATGTGTATTAGATATACAAATGAGGTCGATGCTTTTACTTTTAATCAGTTGTAATGATTATGTTTTACCTATCACTTTGGAATTTTGGAAGTATCACTTTGGAAGTATCAGTTTTACCCTTTCAAACGCCCCATAACTTCACTCTGCTCATGAAATAAACAGTAATTTGCATCATGGCTTCTTAGAAGAAGCATATTAAGCGCTGCTTTCTGCGTTCCGGTTAAAGAAAAATGCGGCTGAAATACTACTCTAAAATGATTTGTTTCGCTTTGAGTGAAAGTGATCCATAAAATGTGCAAAAACTTATTTCAAAAATTCCGAAGTGACAATGTTGATTTTATTGATGCAGAACGTGGTGGAACGCCGAAAAAAATGGAATATGAAGAATCAGAACAGTTATTGAACGAAAATCCTTGTCAGATGCAGCTGAAACTTGCTGAGAAACTTGATTGTAATTCAACAAGTTATTTCCGTTTACTTAAAGAAGCTTGAGAGAATACAGAAAGTAGACCGTACCTCATACACAATCTGAAAACAATGTGGGACGTTTTGACACGGCAATGTCCCTGTTATCATAATTCGAACAAAAGGACTTTCTTCACAAAATTGTAATTAGGGGTAAAAAGTGAATACAGCAAGATTGTACGGCAATCTCAAAAAAGGTAATTCGTAGGTTCATCGGGGCGCACCATCAACAAGTACTGCTATAGTGAATATTCACGTTAAAATAAGTTACTGTGTATATGGTAGGATTTCAAAGGTGTTCTTTCTTACGAATTTACTCAAGCCTGAAAACGATTACTTGTGGGCGATACCAGCAACAAATAATTAACTTGAGCAACGTAATTGAACGCAAAACATCTTTTATCAACCATTTTCAGTGGAACAAAGCAAGTGATTATGCTTGTAAGATAACGCACTGCCACTTACGGTGAAAATAATCGTGGAAATAATATTTTCTCTAGGTTAGAAAATTTTCCCTTGTGAAGGTTACTATCCGGATCTTGCACCCTCGAATTCATTTGTCCCAGTCGCTGCAACATCTCCTAATCGATTTTCATTTCAAATATCCCGAGGTGATCGAAAAAAGCATCATTGATTTTATTGAAAGAGACAATAATCTTTTTACCGAAATATAATTCAACAGCTGCTCAAAAGATGGAAAAAATTTGTTGAAAATAATGGGAACTGTCTCAAAAGTTAACATGTTTGTGGTTTTTTTTGTAAATAAACATCAAAATCATGCTAAAAAGCATCGTAAAAAGTTTGATCTAGTTTGTAAGTTTTCGAAGCTATTTCTCTTATCACTTTTCACGATATTTTTAATCATAGTTTATAAATTTGTTACATTCAGTGAAATTTCCGAGGCAATATATGAAATATAATATTTTCATATTGTTTAATATCAGTTGTTCAGTACACCAAAAATAACTTATACGTTATTACCTTCTAAAGTTCTCCGTATGTAATCAATCTAACGTCAAAGTGTTTTCGAAACGTAATTTATTATTACTTCTTATGTGTTTATATTTCTTCTGTTTAGCAATGGGCCCTTATCAGAAACTATATTTATGCTGCGTACGGTAGTACACAACGAGCACTAGGAGTGGAAATATCGAATACAGAATATATATCCAGTACTGAGGTAAGAGACATTGAATTTCTTATATCCGTGATATTATTCTTTTTACATTAATATCAACATTAAGTAACAATATTATATAAGAATCATCTCATATTAAAACTTATCATTAAGTAATATTTCGTTCTGCTAACAACTAAATTCCCTATACAGGCACACATATGTCTTTGCGAAACATTTGCATGGCATCTCTAATATTATTATTAAGCTACATTTTGTTGTGCGCCGCTAATGAGACACCCGAAACCATTGATACCGATTATGATCAGTCTAAAAACATGCAAAATTGCGCAAGTGTCTCACCTTATAATGAATTACCGGTTCATAACCCACGGCCAACTAGATATACCATAAATTTCGATATAAATCCGAATTTTAACAGAGCCTACGGTGTAACTAATATTATGATCACTGTTGAAAATCCAACTAGAGACATAAGTTTGCACGCTTATGGATTGCGTATCGTGCAAAGATGGATCTTTCTAACTGCTATAAATACCTTCTCAGTTGAAAAGTATGCATTCATTGGCTATCGTTATTGCAAAGATTCGCAAATTTTGGATTTGCGGTTTGATAAAATTATAGTTGCCGGAACTTATAACTTAACAATCCATTTCAACGTTATTTATTCTCCTCGGAATAATATAGTTAAATACACGTACCAGGAAAACGGAAACAATCATGAAACAACAAGGTAAGAATTTGCATTAAACATACTGCTAATAATTGTACGTAAATATTTTTTTCTATGGGTTCAAATGTCATGCTATTAGGTATACAACTTTGCTTCTGCCGTTTTCCTATAGATGGCTTTAGTGGTAAGTAGTGGCCGAAATAAATAGATCATAGACGCCATGCAATAAACTTGGGTCTGTCTTGCATCTGTCAACATAACCCCATAGAAACATTAGTCGATTTGTGTCTGCATCATAAAGTTATTCTCGATTGAAAATGTCAGTTTACGAGCCAAATTCTCGTCATTTGCGGGAGGTTTTAATTTTCTGCTTTAATATGAAGAAATCTGCGGCTGAGGCTCATCGAATGCTGTCAAATACTTATGGCGAGGCCCTTATTAGTGAAAGAACGTGTCGTGAGTGGTTGGTTGGTGAACGCTTCAAGAACGGTGATTTTCACGTCGAAGACCGGCATAGCGATGGAAGAGAGAAGGTTTTCGAAGATGCAGAATTGGAGGCATTACTTAATGAGGTCTCGTGTCAAAGTCAAGAAGAATTCGCACAATCATTGGGAGTGACTCAACAAGCAATTTCAAAACGCCTCAAAAACATGGGAATGATTCAGAAGCAAGGAAATTGAGTGCCGTACAAGTTGAAACTCGTACCTGAGAGATGTTGAACGGCGTTTGTTTGCTTGTGAATAGTTGCTTGAAAGGCAAAGACGGAAGGGATTTCTGCATCGCATTGTGACTTGGGACGAAAAATGGGTTCATTACGATAACCCCAAGCGCAGAAAATTATGGGCATATCCCGGCCATGCTTCCATGTCGACGGCCAAACCGAATATTCACGGCTCCAAGGTCATGCTCTGTATTTGATGGGACCAGCTCGGCGTAGTGTATTATGAGCTGTTAAAACCGACTGAAACAATCACAGGCGATCGTTATCGAACGCAATTAATGCGTTTGAGTCGAGCATTGAAAAACAAACGGTCGCAATACAACGAGAGACACGATAAAGTGATTTTGCAGCATGACAATGCTCGATCCCATGTTACGAAAGTGGTCAAGACATACTTGGAAACGTTGAAATGGGAAGTCCTACCCCACCCGCCATATTCTCCAGACGTTGCTCCCTCTGACTATCATTTGTTTCGATCAATGGCACACGGCCTGGTTGACCAGCACTTCCGGTTTTATGAAGAAGTAAGAAATTGGATCGATTCATGGATCGCTTCAAAAGATGACCAGTTCTTTCAACGCGGGATTCGTACGCTGCCCGAAAGATGGGAGAAAGTAATGGCCAGCGATGGACAATACTTTGAATCATAAATATATAACCAGTTTTTTACAATAAAGCCTCGAATTTCGGAAAAAAAACGGCGGATCAAAGTTGTACACCTAATAGTTATGTTGATCTATGTAGTTATCATGAGGAAAAATCTTATTAATTAAGTAAAACCTATTAATTGAACACTTTTCTATATATTTTTAAAACATTTATCGACAAAATATTAGTCAATAATCCCTACGTTGGTATTTAAGTCAATTAGAAATGATCAGAACAATTAGAAATTAGAAATGATTGAATACAAACATTTACATAATTTGCATTTATATAGCAACCTTTTTTCATTTTTGTTGATATATATATAAATAAATTTTTGTGCAATTTTATGCGACTTTACACAGACAATATTAATATTGAATTACATAGAGAGAGTATCTCATAAGTCGAAACGAAAAATTCATAACATGAAAATATAGGGTGGATTATTAATAAGACAAACATAAAAGTTTCATATCATTTGGTGATGTTACGTCCTGTAGATTTAATTAGTAAAAATTCTTTCCTCTCGCAGATTTATATTCTCCTAATATAACTATAATAGGAATATATACATATATAAATATAAATTAGGAAACAGACCCATCTGGCGAACAGCCGTCGCGCCAAATGAAAAGCGATTTGGGAAAATTCCATAACAGGAAACAATGCCCTGTTGTAAAAACCTATACCTGGGTAGTGTTCGCCAAGTGTGTCCGTCGTCCCAGCTATAAAAACTTGAAACTCCGCGCTAATAAACCTTCAGTGAAACAAAGCAACTCAGAGCATCCCTGCTCTAAAACTTGAAACTCACATCTTCCCAATCCAAAACCATATGTGCCCAATCAGTCAACCAACAAAGCCTACTTCACTGATAGTCGTAAAATCTGATCCCAGCCTTTGATTTACGGCATTTTGATTTTTCCAGCCGTCCACTTGTATACATTTCTCTATCTCAAGAACCCACCACCTCTACGCTTGTCGCGCCTAACTCATTCAGCCAATCATATATCCACCTAAAACTATGAGACACTCACGCTCCACCCTTTAGCCCTTCCATATTCATATCTCCAAAAACTAACTGTCTCCTCCCACGATCTTTTAACTTTGCTAATGGCTGAGACTTTTTCCCACTAAGACCAATCCACCCCTTCCTCAAAGGCCATCTCTCTACCCACCCTGATAGCTTCTGCCTCCGATTATTACTATAAAAACCGCGGTAATCCGCCTCCGCGGCCACTTCTACTTCAACTTCTACCGTTACTTCTATTCTGAGAGACAGAAAGAACAGATTCACATAGATTCTAGTTTCAAAAATCAGACTTGTAAAAACACGTCCTTAGACTCAAATTCGTCTTCGGTTTTGTTTCGGTACTACATATTCTTTTACGTCCTCTGTCTTATTTTTTTTTGGGGACAAAAATAAAAAGTTTGAATCACTGCTGTTGTGCCATAATTGAACAATTGGAAGGGAGTCGCACAACCCATCCCAACCTACAGAGCAGGAGCCGCCTATCAACCGTTATATCTTGTTCATTTCTCGCATCCCAGGAATCACCAGTAAGTTACATTTTCTTTGCTTACTAACTCTTTACTCATATTCCTTCCTTTTTTTTTATTTCCTCCTTCTTTCACTTCTCATACATACACACATACACATACACAGTCATTCCTCAACTGTATTGAACCGCGCCGTAATTCATTTTGTTATTTTAATAAATCTGTTTATATTTCATTCTTTTTTCCAATTGATTTCAAAATCACATATACCCTTCCAACAGTCAACTCATGGTCCTATCCCCGGTAAAGGGATTCGCGTCCCTGACCGAAAAACGGACCACTCGTCGTACGTCGGTGCCCGAGTAAAGGGACCCGTCGGGTCCCTGACCCGTTCACTGACACGCGTGTACGAACGAGGTTCGCCTTACTCGCGAACGAAAGGGTTGCGTTCCTCCTCTAGGACGTAACAGTGAATATGCGTCGGGATGGTATTGGAAGAGTCGCTCGGGCTTAGCGTAGTCCTGTCGATCCAGCTTGACCCAGCCAGCGTGCGACGAGACATAGGAATGGCGAGAATCAGACATGAATAGTGGCACTTATCCTTTCTCTTATCACATGTCGACAACAATTACTGGATCGATTGTATCACACAATAACGCGAGTGGATATGTTCTTCCCCAATCATCTATCTCGGCGCGCGCTCACTCGTCAGATTTCTATAATTAATAACTGAAACCAATTATAATTATTGCGAATGTCGTAAAGCGATGTGCGGATATATTTACCTTAATCCGCTCTATGTGTCCATGAATTCCTCTAGCTAGTTATGAGGCACACAATATAATTCGTATATGTGTATTATGCTTGATAACTCAGGTAACCATATCCAGTAGAGGTATAAAGCTGATTGAGATAAAGAAAAAATGTCAACTATTCTATTTCGCAAAAGAAAAAAAAAAATGGACGAGATATGCATGGAAAAATTGAATGAATTAATGTGCGCCGCGGCGGTAGTGTGACATGCTCGATCGCTCGAGCTTGTAGCCCAGTAATAGTTGCCATCGCATGATGAAAGGAAAAAAAGTTGCACGCCGACAGCTATTGTTGGACGAATTGAGCTGCGCGACGAGTTTGAGCGACCGAGGGTGCTACCCGCTGCCACCGCGATGCATGCTACTTCATTCGATTTCTCTATGCAAAACTCGTCCGTATATGTACAAAATTCTTTTCCGCGACATTTATATAATAGAATGGTTAAACATTTTATGTTTACAATGATATGTCCTGACGATAGATTATTCATCACTCGGATTAACGCAGCTCGGAGAATATTTCCATGTTGGGACGAACCCGGATTAAAAGCAATTTTCAACATATCTGTAAAACATCCTAGGAACGTTGGAGTTATCTCCAATATGCCCATGATACTCAAAGAATACTATGATCAATATTCAGATTGGATATATTTTGAAGATACGCCATTGATATCTCCTTTCAATATATTCATTGCTCTGCTTGAAACCACTCACGGATTTGCACTTAATCCAGTATCTAAAATTGACTTCATTTGGCACATGGAAATACAAGATAATCAACTGATAGATGCAATAAATACAATCACACTAGTTGATAGATACTTGACGTCCATAACGAATTTACCTAATATACTGCCAAGGAGGAATTACATGTTATTCCCAAATAATACAATAAAAACAATGGAATATTTTGGCTTTGTGATATATAGGTAACATAATACACATAATACACACAATTCAAATGCTGTAAAATATAAATCATGAAGAAGACTGGGTACTATCAATCCGGCGAGAGCAAAAAATTTTAATTGTTTAATTTAGACATTGGTAGCGATGCACAGAAATTTCTTCTCAGGCTGTGCATCTATCAAGTATCGCGCGAGTAATATTAACATTACATCAATATATTATTTTCCTATTCAATAATGTAACTATATTCCAACATATATTGCCAGTAACTGTTATAATATATTGTGAGGTAGAAAACGATAAATGTTGATGTTATGTTATTATCATTCTGCGCTTAATGGGTTTCATTGTGTTAGAATTTTTAAACTAATTTTATACGTTTATGTGGATTATAAAAGAATTAAATTATATGCACACTCTAATGTCTACATCATCTGATCATATTAATTCACAATTTACAGTGAAAAGGATGCTCCGTATAATGAACATTTTGATTTCCCTGGTCGTAAAATTTATATCGACGAGGTAATTTCGCACCAAATGGCACGTCAGCCGTTTATAGTAGTGGCTACCCAGTCTCGGTGGGCCGACCTGTGGTTAGGCGAATCACTATTGAAACTTTACAGTCATTATGTCATGAACGAGGTTAATATATGTCTATCAGCATTAATAATAGTATTAATAGAATCAATAATAGAAAGCGAGATATTTTTCAATTTAAAGGCAAATGACCGGTGTCATAAATATTTTAAAATTCTGTTAACCGCTTTTCAATCATGTACAAACCTCAATAAATATAGAATACTGATATACAATGTAGAATTAACTGATAACATAATAAAAAATTTGATTTTGTGCACATGACGGATATGAGTCATATCGTCAGACATTACGTATAAAAATAATTACTGAAAAATGTATAATTTATCTTTCAGTCATGTAACATTTCCATATAACTTCTTAACTGTCATATAAGCTACTGTCTTGTCATACACAGTAACGATCTTGTAACATTTTAATAACAAATTTCATTTATGTTTACATAACTGCAATTTTATATGAGTCGAAAATCACATCTAACATATATTGTAACTTATATATTTATTAATATGTAACTTACATCTATGTGCTTGCTTGCCATTTGTGCTTGTTATATTATATAACGTGCTATATTTCGTTATGTTACAATAATATAGCCAGTATATATTTATGTTTGTTATGGAGTATGGAGTACATTTGCACAATGTTAATTCGTGTGGCAACCCACATTTTAGATTCGTTCAGACTCATATCAGAATAATTTGTTGTAGATTTACAGTGGTTTACAATTAATGGACCTATATACAATTCAAATTCTTCAGTCAACTTTTCGCTACGAAACTACCTGTCGGATGCAAGCTCTTTCCGAATATAATGTACAGATCGCGGACGAAATTGATGCTGTACTCTGTTCTCCTTGGTATTATAATAAGGGTCAGTGTTTAACTGGCGATTTAAAAGAAAAGTATTTATATATCCTTGTACGGAGATACCACATAAATTATGAGAATTGGTCCTTACTTTATGTAAACTTGTTGCGTTTCGACGTACTGTTTTGTTGTAGGTTATGCTCTTTTACGCATGATAGAGTGTATAATCACACGGGATGAATTTCAACTAGCTGTCAGAAGATATTTGGACAAATTGTAAGAAACACATTCTAACATTATTATGTATAATACTTGGCTGTCACATGTTGCTTCTAGAGATAACTATATGTACGACAGAATTGTCACTATTTCAAATTTATATATTTACATATTTATTAAGTAATTGAGCTTAAAAAGGGTGTACTCATATTATTTATTACACAGAATTTCCATATATAGTGTTTATGCATTTACGTTAAAAGGCTCAATTGAACACGTGGTTAAATAAAAATGTGTTTAGTATCTATATTGTAAAATCCACATATTATTAACGATAAAAAACACGCACACGTACGTGTACGCAACGTTGAATTTTTCTCTTTATAGCAAGTTTCGTTCAGCCACTCTTTACGATTTTTGGATCATCTTACAACGTATGCTTGACAACAGAGATAATCAATTGTTTAACATTAAGGAAATTATGGATACATGGTTAACTAAAAGATACTATCCTGTTATGCAAGTCTTTTATGATAGTAAAAATAATATAGTAAGATTAAATATTACTGGTAGCGTCGACATGATGAAATCCACGTGGATGATACCAATAACTTGCACTGCTATTTATCCTTTGGTTCAGTATAACTGGATCTCACTTAGATATAATGGATAACTACTTCTGAAATTACAACTATTGAACTGGTGCAAAATATTGATTTTATTATAATTGATATGAAAAAAAATAGTGAGTGTATATATCCCAGATAAGTTTGTGACACTGTCACTTTAATGCGTAAAACAACTTCAACATAATACATTTGTTTACTTTATGTGCAAGCTTTTTCGGTTAATACAAATTTAAATTAGTAACAATATAATGATTATTCAATTTACAGCAGGATACTTTCGTGTGAATTATGATGTAAAAAGTTGGAATCGAATCGCAACTTTCTTGCAGTCTGATGATTATAATAAAATAAATGTCCTCAATCGCGCGCAATTGATCGACGATGCGTATTATTTTATGACACAAGGCGAAGTATCACCGTCCACATTTTGGGCAATTGCAAGCTACCTAGAGCGCGATATAAGTTATATAGCCTGGTATCCGATGTTTAATATTTTATCGTTCATGTGGCCTATTTGGAATATGCCCGATCCGGAAGTGGAACATATCAAGGTAGGCAAGATAGACCGAATTTCGTTAAATATGTTGATTAAAGGGGGGGGGACGCGTAGTCTACACCGATTATAAAAAGAACTTCATTATATTGAAGATGAAATAACGAGATACTAAAATTAAATGATAAGGTATATCAATCTCAATATTCGTGTGGTATCAATATTTCTTAACATGACCTAGGAAAGAGTACGTCAAATATTAGACGGCTTGCTCCAAAATTTGGGATATAAAGAAAGAAATGATGAGAGCAATATGTATAAAACACTGAGATTATTAGGAACAAGATGGGCTTGCAAGTTAGGGGATAGAAAGTGCCAAATAGCTGCTACGACACAATTGTCTGAGCATCTTTTCGATCCTGACAATAACAAGTAAATCTTTATATCCTGTACTGATCTTTTTAAATATGTTTCTTTATTATCTCTTGCGCCATACGTTTAATTACATGACTCAAACTTTAACTTCGCTAATGGTTGATATTTTTCCAACACGTAGAATTTGGCCATGGTGGAAGGATTGGGTATATTGTGCCGGCATGAGTTTGGCCAACGAAACTATATCGCAAATTCTGTTTGAAAAATACAAAAATATTACAGATATAGATATTTTGAAATACTTGTTTTGCTCGGATGATGCACAAATTATCGTGAAGAATACGGATGTAATGTTCTCTTACGTTCGTTTAAATATGCTATCGTATATCGAGCTGATTAAACTTTATCGTGTTGTTCTAAAGAAGCATATAAGGAAGGATGTCGTTCTGAAATACATCGTAGAAAATAACAACATAGAAATTTGGTGATTGTCTCTCTTATAAATATTTGTAATGTGACTGATCGTGAGAAAATATAGTGCTTCTATTAACAATTAATTCTTTTTAATTTGTAGGAGTTTAAGCATTACCTTAAGTACAAAACTGTTTGGTGATATGATGATGAATGTATATTTAAACGAACATTTCTATAAGGTATGTATTCTTTCGTTTATTTTGCTTTGCGTTTAATATGCTTAATTAACTCACACTTCATTTTCAAACACATAATACATGTGATAATTTATTTTTCGTTAAAGTTAGAAATTATGGATAAAAATGAAGTTGAGGTGTCTTACGAAGATGTCAAAATAACCGTTTTCAGATTATAGAATTTGCAGTAGATAATGCCAACTTATTCAAAATAAACCTGAATGACATATCCAAATTAGGAAGAGCTCAAAAGAAGAGAATTAATAAAATTAATAAAATGAAAGGAATAATTTATCCGTTATATAAATAAGAAAAGGAAGATATATAATTTCTGAACAAGCGAGTTTACAAAATGTGATGGAATTCAAATAATTAAAGTGGCCAAACTGAAGGCTATTGCAAATTAGGCAGTGAATTGAGATGTCTGTGTTTAAAATTGTGATGTTTGTTTTTTGTATAATGAAAATATATTTTCATTATATTTTATTATTACATTATTCTTACATTTTCATGTTTTATATTTACAGATAATTATACACACACATTGTACATTACATGATAATAATATATATGACTATATAATCATGCATGTATAGTTATATATGTATCTATGTAATATCTATAATGTCTATAATTTAACCATTAAGTTTCATTTGTACATGACTGTGCAAACACGCATACACATACGCGATACACACACAAATATATGTACATAAAAAAAAACATATATATACATGTATATGTATGTGTGTATATATTGTTCACTCATCTGTAAAATGTCCCACATATATTTTTTTCAAGCAACAATCGATTGTCATAATTAAATGACGCTGCTGACATGTTCTCATGATAAATAGTTGTGACGAAAAGGCGAGGCGACAGAACAATATTTTAATACGATATGATATCTGAAGGATAAGATTATAATGAAGATACTAATATTTTCTGAAACCTTTGTTGCACTTTGTTGGGACTTCGGACGGCACATATACTTTCACTTTAGCTAATGTCTAAATTGATTACTGCGAAAACATGTCAATGATGTTTCTCATTGATGTCGGAACGTTGTAATTTCATTAGAAAAAATATATGCAAGTCGTTATGAAGCTGAATGTTTGCCATCATATCACAATACTTATTATTTTATTATAAATGTGGATACACTGTATAGTTATAAATAATATATGTACTGTGTATATTTTGTATAGCTTTGTACGTATATTATTTTTAATTACTAATATCGTTCAGCAGATTATATATTGCGCTATAAATCGTTAGAAATATTATATCAGAAATGTTTTATTACATTTCAAACATTTATAATATTTATTATACTATATAATACAGCGTACGTACACAATTGTAAACAATATTTAAATATTATATTGCAATTCGTGCCGTTTCTGTATCTATATTATATATTTAATTACTGATATTATATTATAAATTTGATGTTATTTTCGCTTTCAAAATATCTTGGTGATGTAAATATAATAATAATTCTTTTTTTCTTTTAAGACTAACTCAACTCGTTATTAAATACTTAATTATTTTATTGTTGAAGTACAATTGCCATTCCCCCCTCCGCCCTTCCCAGCGACAGACATAGAACAAATTGTATATATTAGGTGTGTAAATTAATTCGCTTTTTTGGCTATTTAGCTTTTTTTTATAAAATTCAATTTTATAAAAAATCAGTATTATTCTACTATTCTATATTTCTTGTCGATATATGAGGGAACAGTAACAGAGCGATGATTTTAAGAGGATAATGATAATAAATCTAAAAAATAAAAAAACAGCATGATGGAGATAATACTTAAAGTGGACAAGGGGAAATTCTCAATATCTCCTCAAAGTACTTACATACGCATAGTTATAAGGTCTAGTAGTTAATACTTTTCGATGAAATTTACATGGTTCAGAGTCAAATTTGAAATTGAAATATTCTCCCGTTCTTTTGCGGTTTTAAAGTGTTGACATTTAACTTTTCGAAATTACATATGGTTTGGCGTTTGATGCGCATAACTTCAAATAATCAGTAGTATTCACAATGGCCATCAACAAAGAGCATATTCGATACGCAATGCATTTCGCATTTCATTTAAACAAAAACGCTTCTGAAGCAGCCAAAATAATTTGGGCTGCTTATGGTGAAAATGCTGTGACCGATCATACGTGCCGCAATTGGTTTGAATGTTTTCGGAATGACGATTTTGATCTTTACAACCAACCACGCCCCGGTCAGCTAGAAAAATTTGAAGACAAGGAGTTGTAAAATCTACTGAATGAAAATACGGCACAAACATAACAAGAGTTTGCGGAAAGGCTGAGAATAAGCCAAAAAGCTATTTGCGATCGTTTATATCATATGGGGAAAATACAGAAAGAAGGGAAGTGGGTTCCGCACGAGCTAACCATTAAGAACAAAAATCGCTGTTTGACCATACGCTTTATTTTCCCATCAAATATTACAATTGTATTTATTAAAATAATTACCCTTATCTACAGTTATAAGTTTGATCCACTTTCGAAGCAACTGACGAATTCTATCGCTAAATAAAATGTAGCATTTAGGATTCTGAATACGTGTCCAGGATATCCTGTATGAATTCAAAATAATCCTGGGATATTTCTAAGATATTTAATTGTGTTATTATAAGTATTTTAAATGAGAATGTATATATTTGACTTCATTAATTGTAGTGCAACATTAAAAGTAATTTCAGAATGCTAAGTACTGTAATAAAATATAAATCTCTCATAAATGCCCACTGCATATTGGTTAGTCTCAAATAGCATAAGAATCAAGGCGGCACAATTTTCTGTAAGATGTCTCACGAGTAAACAGTAGAAGTATAGTCTATTGAATTTGTTGATTCCGTGTTGTGTCGAGATACGTGCTTTCTATCTTTTCGTTTAAATTAATAGATACAATAAATAAAATAAATAAATATAAAGAGTATTAATAAATACAAGGAAAATCAAAGGACTCCGGTCTTAAATCGGACCTGGCAAATTGAATACATGAATAGCTCGATTTCTTTTAGAATCAAAAGATTTTAGGATTTTAGAAGATTAAAATTTAGAAAAATTATATATCTATATAAAAGGTGTATTTCCTTGCAAATATAGCATTTGTAATTATATAGAATTTCCAAATTTACCAAGTATATAATCGGGTTAGCTTTTACATTGTAAGTATATATATGAAATTTTATTTATTTATTTTTCTATAAAATATTAATTTTAATAATAATACATCAAATTCTATCATATTAAGTATTATTTATTTATCAATATATTGACATAATTATAATAAATAAATAAAAAGTTTCTTCTACTTTGTAAGTTTTCAAAACAATTATTCTTGTTTTCTTCTTCGCGATATTATTTATCATAATTTATAAATTTGTTAAATTCAGTGAAAGTTCCGAAGCAGTATATGAAATATGTGTAAGGAAAATATTCTTTTTTCTCCTTTTTTTGCTTGTTCGCTCCTTTTTCCTTTTCTCTCTTCCTCCCCCCCCCCCTTTTTTTCTAAAGGGTGCCGTCGATCTGTTGTTGTGAGTAGCTTCGAAGGGAAGCATATAATTGTAATAAAAATATTGAATCGATTCTTGCTTTTAATACCTAACCATTCATATCGTACGAGGTGTGAGTATTGCATATGAAAATCCAAAGAGGGGGTTGGGAGCGTTGAAAAACAATAACGATCACAGTGAGGTCAATGGTGGGGAGAACGATGTTACGTTTGGAAGATAGAGACGCGGATCATAAAAACGATGTCGCGGTAGAGTTAGTGAGTCAGTCATTGTTGGACGCCCGAAGTAGACGTGCCATCACCACTCGTGCAGAAGGTTGGTGAGTGTTAATCAAATTATTATTTTCTAATGTTCAGCGGGTGACCGAGGTCGCGAGCATTGTTCCTTTACACAATTAGTTGATGTCTCTTAATTCCAAATACCGGTGTTGTCATGCGTTTTCCCTTCGACACCGGTCCAATTCAGATGTTTTCTGGGTCACCAGACCGGGTCACCATCACCGTGCGTTTTCCCGAAGAGCCTGATGGTATGATCTGACTGATCTGAGCCAGCAGCTGCAAGGGATATCTCGTGCGCCTTCTCTTAATGTTCATTGTACCTCTTGGTGCTGGATGGTGAGCTTTAGGCCGAGATATGCTGGTAATCTCGTGCGCTTTCCCTTGGAAATCTCCGACTACCCGCCAGCGGTTCGAGTGTGCGCATTCCCGCTCGAACTGTCGTTTTTGATCAATTGTCGCATGAGGTAATTGCGCGAAAGCCTGACTCGAAGGTGCTCTAGCCTTCGGTGCGTCTCCATATCCCGCTTGAACTTCGCCGACGGGCGTCTAAATTATGTTATCGTTACGCTATCTATTGTTTTTTTGTGTTTACTACCTCAAGCTGCTCGTCTATTCACTCGGCTCTATGTATAAATATATATAAAGTAAATAAACAGAAAAGGAAAGGGCATATTTCTTGGGACTCGCTCCCATGTTGTTCATACATTCTATACCTTACTCTTACATATGATATTTTCCCTTGTAAGTCTGACATTGTCTTCAAGCAGAGCAATGATACATTGGAAGAGCATATTAAAGGCGTATCATTAAAATATGTGAAATTGTATCATAGTTTTCAGCGAATATTATAGACATGTTCGAGAAAAATTTAAATTTCCTGAGATGACTATATTAGTCATCAGTATCAACAATAACTTATACGTTATTACCTTGCAAAGCCTCTTCATATGTAATCAATCTAGCGTCAAAGTGTTTTCCAAAACGTAACTTATTATTGCATGGTTTGTGTTTATTTCCTTTTGTTTAGCAAGTGATCCACAATATCAGAAGCTGTATTTGTCCTGCGTACGGTAGTAGACAACGAGTGGAAATATTGGATGTACAAATTAGTTCGGTCCGTTTTCAAAAGATGGCTCCGGGTGTTATGAATGGTTCATAGTGATTGCCGATTTTGGCGGTTTCAGAGAGGTTAGACATCTGCCAATAATATTCAGTTTATATCGCTTTGAGTTTCATACAAAAACCTTGCTTTTTACAGTGTTGAAAATGTCGAATTTTGTGTTAACTAAGCAACATTTGCGGGAGGTTTTAATTTTCTGCTTTAATTGGAAGAAAAGTGCAGCTGAAGCCCATCGAATGTTTGTTGAAGTTTATGGTGATGCTGCTCCAACTGATAAATCATGTAGGGAATGGTTCCGACGTTTCAAGGATGGAGATTTCAGCGTCGAAGACAAGCCTCGCCCAAAAGAGTGTTGTTTATTATGAGCTGCTGAAACCTGGAGATCCCATTACGGGCGATCGGTATCGGCTACAATTGATTCGTTTGAGCCGTGCATTGCGATAAAAATGGCCGGAATACGAGCAAAGACATGATAAAGTTATTCTTCTT